GTTCTGTTAGCCCTCAGTTCTCATTACACTATCCGCTAGGGGCGCGATGTTTGCCTGTACCGCGCGTTCTTTCGTGTTTCACCTATCCTGGCAGACGTGTATTTATCCAGCGTGCTGCTAACAGACCTGAAAGGCCTCAGCCTCGCAGCCGACACGAACGTACAATGTAAACTTATTGAAGTGTGCCAGTGCTTGCAGGGCCACTAGCATTAATGTCTTTGTAGCCTAGCTAAACATCTATGGACCGCCGAAACGACTCATGGAATCACGCAGCCGGCTTAGTGTAGGCAGGTTACCAGCCTCTATTGGAACACTTAGAGGCTTAGCGCTCGGCGAACATTCAGTTATGTGTCATCCATTAGACATCGAGCTGTTTTGGTTGCAACGCGTTGGAGAACTGCTTAGAGATGTTCCACCCGGCCTCGTTCATCAAGCGGATCAACGGATATGCAGGCCTCTATTGGAACAGACTCCTTGTCTGATTTGCCGAGGTTTATCCGCAGATCGAATTATATGACGAAAGCGGTTTAGGCTAGCACAGCCACCCAATGTTCCTAATTCGCCTTTGTGCCTTGACTATGTTGCGAGCTCCGACGTTGTCGAGGATTTGCAGGAGAATGGAAACGTAGCCGTCCCCTGCCCCATCTTCTGCTTCTCACTTTCGTACTCTCACACTTCCTTGCTCCTGGGCGGGGTTTCATGTTCTTCGTGTCAGTGGCTTTTGGAAGCATCATGCTGTCTACACCCAACGTCAGACGTACCCTTTCTCCTCCTCCCCCTTGGATGGTAGACTCTGCACCACCGCCTGATTATCCGCTCACCTTACGTTTTGCTTTGCGTCAAGGCAATTTTCCATCGCTGGAGAAGAAGTTGTTGGACATCAGCAATCCTTTAAGTCCTCGCTGGAGACAACATTTGACAAAGCAGGAAGTTGAGAACTTCACGCGGCCGACCAATGAAACTCTGAGAGCGGTTGATGCGTTTCTGTCATCTCATGGGATCAACCTGCATGCTGCTCATCGCTCTCCAGCGCTGGATTGGATCAGTGTCAATGTAACAGTCTCCAAGGCAGAGGCCATCCTCAATGCAACGTATATGTTGTATTCGAGCGTCTATTCCGGGAAAATGCTGCTACGATGCGCTTCTTACGACCTCCCAAACGAAGTTCACCCTCATATTGATACCGTCCAACCTACGAACTACTTTGGACCACCGGAGGGGCGGCGGAGTGATTCTTTTGAAAGGGTCGGTCTTCGTCATTCCTGTGCGCGGCATTGCGGGGATCTGCTACATCCCGGCGATGGAGGCCTCACAATGGCTCGCCGGTCAGGAAAGCCCAGGCGACTCCAAGCCCCGTCTGGCTTTGTTGACCCCCAATATCTCATGTCGGTTTACGGTTTTACGAACTACACCGCATCGTCCAATCGAAGTATGATCGCAGTTGCCAAGTAAGATTGTATGTACAACAACAACCAAGCACCTTATATTCACGGGCGTGTGACCTCCACTCCAGCTTTCTTGGGGATCGTGTCAATTTAGAAGATACGAAACTCTTCTGGGAAAAATTAGCACCTCATGCACTCAATAGTACGCCCTCAATCGAAAATGTGAATGGTGTGTTTCTGTGGCTCTCGTTTACGCTGCAGTTTATCTCATGTTTGTAAGGAGGATCCTATCACCAATACCCGGGATCAGGTACTCGAGAGGGGGTTAGAATCTCATCCTTATTTCAAACGCCACCTACTAATTTTTTCCCGAAGAGTCTAGACTTCCAATATGCCAGCGCCCTGACAGTAAGCATCTGGTGGAATTATTGTTCCACTCGCTGACATGCATGGTTCTCCTCAAGTACCCCACAAGAACAGGTTGGTCCGCTATTTCAACAAACACCTGACCACGCATTAGCTCACGTCCATCGAGTTATCTACAGCACGACCGGACTAGGACCCGGGAGCACAAACTCTATGAGCAATGAACCGTGAGCATCTGCGTATTTAATACCATTCTTAGTTCGTGTCAAACAATACTGAGTTCTTCAGATATGACATCTTGCTGCCGTACATGTTAGCCAAAGAGGACGATAAGCTTCCGACCACAATGTCTATCAGCTATGGTGAGTGCCTCGGAATCCTTGGCCTTGGCCCTTGGCGCTGATATATGAATGATCAGCGGATGATGAACGTTCTATTCCGATTGATTATGCTACGCGGATTTGTCAAATGTATGCAGAACTTGGCGTTCGGGGCGTTAGTGTCCTTCACGCAAGTGGCGACCACGGGGTGGGAGGGACTACGCCCTACTCTTGTCAGAATACGAGAGGTGCTTTTGTACCGTCATTCCCCGCGAGTTGTCCCTAGTGAGTATTTGATGTTTGATATACATGTTCAAGACGCGCTCAAATAAAAATTAGTGTTACTGCTGTCGGATCTACTAGTTCATGGCCTGAGGTCGCTGCCTATTTCAGTGGCGGAGGGTTCAGTAATTACTTTATAAGGCCTTCGTATCAAAATGAAGCTGTGTCGTCCTACGCGAGCCGGATGGGTGGCCAGTTTCGAGGCGAGTAGGTAGCCCAGTCGTTCTGGCACTTTGCTGAATGCTTTCCCCAGGAAAATACAACGACAAAGGTCGCGCATATCCGGACATTGCTGCCCTAGGGATGTCTTATTTGTACATTCTGAATGGAACTGTTGTTGAAACCAAGGGTACCAGTGCATCCACACCCACGGTCGCTGCCATTGTGAGTATCTCAAAATAGGACTTCACTGCGCGTCATGTTCATGGAGACTAGGTTTCGCATTTGAACGACATGGCTCTTATGAAACGGGGCAAAACACTCGGGTTCCTGTAGGTCTTCATCAATCTCTCTCAGCCATTCCCCAACTAACTTCCACTGAAGTAATCCACTGCTTTACCAATTGCAGGGCAGGGGTATGAATGATATCATCAATGGCAGCAATCCTGGGTGTAACACAGGGGGATTCGAAGCCACGGATGGATGGGACCCTGTTACGGGATGGGGTAAGCGTTGTCGACCACTATCAAACCAAACAGAGCTGGATAAATGTGGATAGGTTCTCCCGATTTCCCAAGTCTTGCAAACATTATAAATAGGATGAACACAACTCCCCCTACCAGCGGAACTGCCTTCTCCGTGTTCCCCAATCCTACAAACCTGGCAGGGAGCGCTTCGCTCACCGTAACCCCACCATTGATGGGCACCGAGTTGGTATTGAATGGAGCCTGCTGCATATTGTTATTTCTTCTATTGTTTATCTAATCTAGAGGCTCTTGGCTTCAACGACCACACAGACGCATTGTTGTTCGCGCTGGAACAGATAGGTGAAGGTGCAAACTGATCAATATTGTAAGACTAAGTAACAGCACAATCTGAAAACCAAGGCTGGTGCACTATGCGGAACGAATCGAGGAAGCACAGGGGGAACTAAAGTTTAATTTAAGCTACACATCGAGTGGGAGGGGATTTCTAAAAATTTTGGAGGCTCAACGCTGGGACTAGAACAGTAAGCAGATCAGACCCACAATAATATAATCGAAATCCAGCGAAAGAAATCCAGCGAACACGGTCAGCGTTACATTGGGATATTCTTAGCTGGGGATGGCATAAGAACGGAAGGATTTTTCTGGGAGAACGGATACGTACTGAAGCGTGTCCTTGGGCTAAGCAACAACGCAGAAGGGGTCATTAGAGTTCCCTCCGTTACCAAAAGAAACGGGAGTGTAGAGATCCACATCAGACAACTCAATGAGACTGCTCTTGTCCGCAACGTCAGACTTAGAAAGGAAAATGGTGTAGAAGGAATCCATAGATGCGCAAGTGTGTGGAAGGCGAGGTAGATAGTGGATACAACAGATGGTATACAGGAGTGCTCGAGATTGAAGTTTCGACCATGGTATGGCAGCGACTTTTATATTTCGCGCTCGAAGCTCAAGAAGCCATTCATCCAAGGCGAAGCATCCGGAACGAGTCACAAAAGTTTCCGTGCCACAGTGTCAACGGTGGCAAATCGATCAGGTTGACCCTGGCCACCTTGGCAGATGGAACCATAGCGACGGGTGCTCGGCGTTAATTGCGGAGAAATACAGCAAGCCGCCGGTAACCAAGATCGATTCCCACCCTTTGTCCACTGAATTGACGTTTGAATCTCGCCACGAGCTTTTGGCCCCTCGCGGAATTTGGCTACTTGCTATCGAGGGGTATACGGCCGGTGTACTCGCTGAGAATACGTTTTATCGATCAGCTATTACATTTTGACGGACTGCTGTTGCCCAAGAAAATGGTGAGGTAGATACAGGAGATGGTGTACAAGACTGAAGTTTCGACCATGGCATGGTGGCAACTTTCACCACAGGGACATTTTGCAGGTATAGACGCCACTCATTGGCGGAGCACCTGGAACGAATTACAAACGTTTTTGTGCCACAGAGTGAATGACAGCAAATCATATAAACCCCTAACCTCCGTTTGAAACGGATGGAGGACCCGGAACTACGACGATGTTAATGTGGCGATCGGCGTCAAGTGCGGTGAAACTTTGGGGAGCTTTCATACCTGGCAACCGGGGACCGACTCCCAGGTCTTGTGTGCTGAATTGACGTTTAGCACAACGATGGGATCGCCCTGATCGCACACACCACTCCGTCCTCTGCGCGCGACCGCGCGGAGACCTCCGTCAGCGGCAACACACATATTATCAGCATCTTAGACAAAGTCATTCCGCGCTCATCACATTTGCGAATGGCGACGCACAACCCTTTGCGCCTTAGGAGAGCTCGGCAATTCTCCCCCATCATTCCATGCCCGGCATTTCCGTTGCTTTAAACTAAACTGATAGCTAGCGCGGTTGCATATTACTCATGGTACTAACTGTCGAAGGTGTCAACAAACGAAGGGGTCTCAATCTTAACGGCCGATGAAATTTCCTCGTCAGATTCTGTTCCTTCAGTTCACACCCGCTGGCTTCGTGATACGGAACCCCCCTTCGCGCGGCAAGCTTGATTGCCGCCCAGCCTACCTGGGCTTCGAGCCTACCCTTTGCTTGCTGCGGAGATTGATCTCGATGCACTCATCGAGAGTCCACTGTTGAACAATCCACTATCCCCTTACAGTGCCCACTCACCAATCATGCACACCATTGCACCCCTATTTTTGTATGTACATTACGGTCCACGCAGTTGTCCATCAATTCCCCCCAGTGATGTGGCCATCTCGTGGTTAAATCCCCAGCCACGCGGTTAGACAACGCCAAAAATTCACCAATGTGAAGACCCAAGACACCAGGACAGGAACGGTCATGATCATGTGAAGCATAAGACCTAATTAGAACATACACATAACTATACCGCTTCCTTCCATTGTTAGTCGCACCCACACATCAAACAGCTAAAGCAGTGATCCGTTTCCGTGCAATTTGTCGCCTGTTCAGCCCAGTTAACTTCACAAGACCTTTCCCGTCTTTGTCGTTGTTGCGAGGCACTACCTCGTCGGGAACACCAAGGATGACCTCGATATGACAAGGATGCCCAAGGAAAGGATTGATGCGACCATGCGCACGGTATGTACGTCTGCGCGTTTTCTATGAGATGTCAAGTAAATTAGCAGCTGATTTGTGAAAACATGGCAAAACCAATTGCAACTGACAGGAGCCTGCTGGACAACAATGTTCTTAATCTTCAGTGATTCGACGTCGAGGCCTTTATTATCGGCATTGGCTTCTGCATTCTTCAGCAGGCGGATAATGTATCTGCAAGATTTCTCAGGCCATCGACCTGATTCGGATAGTCACCAACAATTAACATGAACATAAGTTGTACATACGCACCCTGAGTGGTTTTGAACTTGAGTACCTGACCGGTTCGTCCTACACCTCCATTGAAACGTCTGAAAGGTATAGCTTGCTTGTGCTCCTGTACATCAGCCAAGTACTTGTAGGCCTTCGACAGCTTCAGGCCTAACCGAGAAGGGAACTTAAAGGTCATGGACTATACATTCATTCTAAAGTGACACGAACCAACTAAGGCGGCAGCAACCTCGCGCATGTTCTTGAAAGAAGTGCGAAGATTCGCACCGCGAGACTTTGCGACTATTGATGCATACGAGAACATCAGACGAGGTTCCAATCATGGTTATGGCACTGGGCCTCACTCTTCTCTGGATTTGTGAACAGAGGATCAGCCGCATATCGACCCATTTTGGAGACTAGAGGTAGAGACAAGGAGAAAATAAGCAGCTGGAGGTCAAATTTCCCGATGAAGCCCTGGACAGACCTGTGAGGATGGTAAGTTTGGTTCAGCTCTCCGGCGATAACCGCAACTGCACAGTTACTCAGTGTGCGCACGTGATCTGATGAAATGATATATTCCAGCGACATCCTCACCGGCTGGGTGACTGCGACTTGTCAAGCTTTCTTCTAGTCTCCATGGTCTCCTGTCTCACTTTCTTTGTCTTCTCTGACCCAGTGGTCACGGACAGGTCCTTGCGGTTGCCGTAATCACGTGGATGGGAAGGACGTCGGACTTGATGTCTGATGATGGCCGCCAGAGGACACTGAGCTACGGTCGCGCCTCCACCGGAATGGCATGCAACGGCTTTTGAGCATCAGTGGGTCCTGAAGCTTCCGGATGAAGCTACGGGCAATTGGATCCGTAGGTTTTTTTTGCCAGAATTTTTCCGTTCTGCAACCACACGGTAATTTAGCATCAGTGACGATCTTTGGTGCTCCTGAGCAGTTGGGTGGACCGGCATCTTCCCGTTTTATGTAAAGATCCCAATGCACGCCAGTCATTCCGCGGGCGCAGTTATTCCACCTCATGTTCAAGGTGACTTCTGAGTCACATCCGGAATATCGAGCACCATTCCTTTCCGGTGGCGTTGAGAAACTCCAAGGTAGCATGTACAAAATTAATGTCCTTTTACTTTGAGAGACACCTGCTGCTCCTGTGGTTTGATAATCCAAATCTGGAGTCATTCCTCCGATGTCTGGCTGAAACTTGCGGCTTCCCTTTTTGGGTGACAGGGGTGGCATGTGTTGATATTTCTGATCAGACTTTGCGCCTCAAACACGTGTGGCTGGGCTTCTAGCGCGGAAACCTACGTGAATCGGATCATTCTATGATCCCCCCTGAGCGTCCGCTCGGAATACGACCAACGTTGCGCGCTGATACACTTGTCTTCGGTATTGGCATTGGCAATCAAGATTCATTGACCTCAACTATAATTCCGGTATCCTCCAGGGGAATGATGGGATTTGACTCATGGCTGCGGAATACAAGCTACGGTCCTGCAAACAAAGGCGACAATGATTTATGGGCCATTCCAACTTCGTTGCTTGGGCGTCACTCCTGACTCTGTCGATCATTGACTTCGGCAGCTCTTTACGAGTCTAATCCCCCTGGGTTTACTCCTAAGGCTCCTACTGCCACTGCGGCGGTGCCCTAGTGCCGTTGAGCCTGTACAAGACATATCTCCGTGAAATTGCGCCCCACTACATATATAGGGTCCGCGTGGCCAGGACAGCATCACCACTCAAGCTACATACTCCTCACAATCTTAGACCCCCAACGCACCATACATCCTCTGCGTCTTGCAATATGTCTTCCTACAGTCAGTCGCATCGTACTTTTGATGCCAGCTGAACGTTTGGTACTCATCATATCACTCCAGTTTTTTATCAAGTCTATGACGAGCAGGGAAAGCTTCATGCTCCCGCCTATGGCTCTTGCGACCCCGCAAGGTACCCATTCGTTGGGGCGTTCATGCAGAAAGATGTGGGCCAGGCCCCCCAAGCTGTGCATGTCTGTCGTCTGCTCTCTATGATGGAAAACGCCTCAGACAGTCGCTGCACCGAATTGTTTGCGACGTTCGACACATTCGCTAAGAACCTAGGATTCAGTGAAAAGGACACCGTGAACCTCGCGGAGAACGGATACGGACGCGATCCAGACCACCCTCTCATCTTCAAGATGCTTAGCTGGGATCGTAAATGAACTAGTTCCACATTGGTGTCCTTTCCCCACGGTGCGATATTGAAGCTCCCGACATGTCCAAACTGGCCTGACTAATTGACGTATCGTTCTTTCAGATCGCGAGAACACCCTGCATCGCAGTGTTTCGAGTATTTGGAGTTCCATTTAGATTTTGCTTTCATCCACATTCTCCATTAATTCTTCCTTCTATACATACATATACAAGACTATTGTGACTCTTTACTTTACTTCTACTCGTATTATAGTGACAATTCGTATCTCTCCTAATCATAGAGTTTTTTACCCCTCTTACCTTTACGCACAGGTCCACGTCCAATTTTGACGTTTTATCCGATATGACCCGATGGACGGTCAGCGCCACAATGGAATAACCAATTCCGATCTTATCCTTATGAGCAGGCGAAAGCCCTGAATGTTTGGAAATTTTATCGTTTTGGGCACCTCAATGGATAACCCGGAGAGGCGTTGCTCATTGCACGCTGCATGATTGGCCAGGTCCCGCACGCCCTGCCGGCCGAGAGCACATTGCCCCCGAAGCTTTTCGGCCGAAGAATCAATATTTACGGGTTTGTACCAATGGGAGAGGCTGCTTCGGTTTGATGGTTTCCATCGCTGAGGCTGAGAAGTCGGAACGCTGGGATGATATGCAGATACACGAGATCGCTCCTCCGAGCCCTCCCGAAGGGGATCAAGCCAAAGCTGGACATGGCTGGTCCAAAAAACACGTGCACCGCTCCTCTATGCCGAAAAAATCGAATGGGGGAGGCTGTTGTGTCTTCTATATTACGAAGTCATAGAGGCTGGAGTCCTGCCTAGTTGTGTCTGGTACACTGGCATCGTACAAGTGCTTGTCGATGGTCAAGCCATGTAATTAACGCAGCCTGGACCATGGAGACTCGTTGTTGTTGTTGTTGCTGCTAATGATCGCCCGCAGTTCACTAGTGCTGGCGGATTTGCTGGAGGATTTCGTGATGTCGGATATCTCCGGCATTTGAGCGGGGGCAATGACAAATGAATTAAATATTTGGTGGAGTACAGGCCCTTAAATGGGCAGGTGACTGAGAGGTTCGGGGAGAGAATCTGCTTTATCGACGCAAGCTATGTAGTTGGGTATCAGCAGGCCCTGTTCGCTTATCGCTGCGACCATTAGTTCATTCCCACGGCCTCCGGGAGTTGCCGGAGGCTGCTGCGACATGGGATGAACTTATGGTCGTAATAGTACAGTACCATCTCCTATGCCCCCCGTCCAAGTTTAAGAGACATGGAGGGAACGAAGTAGTAGAGGTAGGTCCTTGTTGGAGTTGGGAAGTGAGAACCACCGTTTAAGACAGCAGACGAAGGCCCGATTGAGGTGGGAGCTTAGGATCCTGCCTAGTGGGAGCTCCACGTCCACCCCAACTGACCACAAATGGAGACCTGGGATCGCCAGAACTGAGGCCGAACCCCTAATTGTCGGATCGTATTCACAAGACTAGCAGTGGACACTCGAACTTGACCCCTTGCTTTGTGGATGAGATTGCCTAAAGTCCGTCTCAATCTAATCGGGTATAGCCGAATACCTCAAACTTCCTGATCAAGCCGTGGAAGCGCTAGCACATGTTCATGTTGGAGGAGCAAGTCATAATAGGTGTTGTGCACTTTCCATACTTGTCTCTATTCCATGTCGATGTGTATTTACATGTATTTACACCGACAATTATATCTTTAGAGTCTACTGCCATCCCAACCGAGCCGCCGCACTGAGTGGTGCTTCTTTAGTTCAACTGCTCCTACACATTACCTAACGAACCACCTCTCGCAAGACCCGATGAAGTCCCATGTTCGGGATTCGCCGAAACGACTTGACAACCACGTGCCCATGTCAATCGTCCCGACGGGACGAGAGCGACGTCCATATCGGCAACATTTATGGGAATAGTTGTCAGCCAAGGTATGTATGCAGTGGGACGAAAATTTGAAACCTAATTTACAATTTCAAGCGAAGTCTCCCCGCTAGTTGAACCGTATGCACTCTGATATTGGAAAGTGGGGCCGAAACTAATTTACTGTTGCACAGTTCACAAGCCCTTTCCGCACCTTCGGTAATGAGATGCGGTGCGGTCGGGATGAGGGGGAGATTCGTGGAGATTCTCAATAGAGAGAGGCTGGTCGCCTGCCTCAGTTAACCTTACATGTGGCGGATGCGTTGGACCCATCCTGCACCGTCACATGTTACTCGCTTCCCGTTCCGTAAGAAATGTGAAGGATTATGCGGATTCGTGATGGGACCTGGTTTGCAATTTTAACGGTTCCAGGCTCAAACCCATTCGGTTCACCCCCTACCGGTCAATGTCGATCCTAACACTCCAGTTATGGCCACTGAGGACAACTTTTCTTGTTTTCTGTTGCTTGGAAGCGGTACCATGAGAATAACGGCACATTCCCAGAGAACATCACATCTTGGACCTCCACCCCCTACGGATCTGCAAATACAGTTTTCGGAAGGGAAGAAATCAGGGCGATAGGTTCAGAAGGGGCTGTGAGGGAACATGGAAAATGCTTCCCAACCGTAGCTTATATAATATAATTACGCCAGCACCTTCCCAAACTTCACCGGTTGCCCACCAACGCAAAAGCCCATCGCGCGCTTCAATATCACACCCCCATACTTTTATTGACGTCCCAGCGCTCAAGGACGATATCCCCCCTCTGGATTCCCCTTTAATTTGAAGATCAACTCGCATCTCGCATCGCCCTTGTCGACCCTGGGGTCATGGAGTCCCCGTCCCAAACTGATCCAAAGGTTTTTTACGTGTGTGTTACTGGATATGGGGTAGGCCCAACTCCAACACCGAGCGGTTCTCCGACTCAAATTTTACCAGCCATTCAGTCACTACGCTCGCAATCCAGCTTGGCTGTCCACAGCACCCCTCAATGGAAAAGTGCTGAGGAAGTTTGAGGCACGTTTGGATACTCAAAGCATAGACCCAGTACCCTCTACTGGCCAATCCCTCCTTTCGGAGATTCACATCGTTTCATTCGAGCTCAGGGTATCCTATCAACACGTGTTATCAGTGATAGAACCCCTCCATGCTACTCCTCCTGAACTTCCAGACTCGGTAAATTTCTCTTCTGATGTGGTCGTTGGACAACTTCATAGGCCTAAGTCTAGGTGGCATTACCGGACTCCCTGCCTCCACAACATAGACCATTCGACTTGATCCTCCATGTCGGTGTTGGACCGGCTGGTGGGATGAGAATTGAAGCGATGGCTAGGCGATTTGGATATCGGGAACCTGACATAGATAATGAGTTGGCGCCACCTGTTCATCCATCCCATCTTAGTGTGCAGCCTCCACCTCTTACTATGCCGATGACAACGACTAGGCCACTAAGACCATGTAAGGACATGCTCCCTCAAAACTTAAACACACTCATACCTCATGGTTCATAGATGTTGGAATTATCCCCAAGCCAATTGCGATGCTAAGGTTCAGAGACGACGTATCGCCCCCAAGAGGATTCGGACAAGGTTACGAGGGTTGTCCCGACGAAATCTGGAACCCCTCTATTGACGTACAGCAACTTGTACAGGACGTTCATCAGTGTGGAATACAGGCAAGTCATTGATAAAGATTTCAGTGTTTTGGCTGGGCTTCGAGTTTCCTCTACAAGAAACACCTAACCTACCTCCCACCTCCTTCCTACCAGGATATAACTCACTCTAGCGATGCCGGTTTATATCTCTGCGAATTTGTTTATTATTGTTCTCTCGCGCAGCACCACCGGATCGGGAGGAGGGTGACCTCCCATGCAGCGTTCCCTATCTCGGCCACCGAAACCGAAGCCAGTTCGACAGCCAATGGCCAGGATCAAGAGGTCTCGAGCTCTGCAAGCCGCCAGGAAGAGTTACCTCCCGGCGTCCTGGGTACCCCCGATCGCTGTCCGAAGGTCTTGTTCGTCCACGTACCTCCGGTTGGAGAGCCGCAGACCTTGGAGGACATGACGTTCGCTATTGAGAACATCATCAAGGTCATTTGTTGGGGAGCTGGCGATGCTGCTGGTGTGCGCGTCGACGAGTGATTCTAAAGACTCAGCCAGATGCGGCACTCTCCCAGTTAATAGAATCATGATTTGATTGATTTCCGAAAGGCTTTGTGCGGTTATTCCTACGCTTGACCAAATCACGTTAGTTTTGCCAACCCCAAGTTCGACCGTGACACATGTTGTTGTACATTCTTGCTATATCATTGTGTTTTTAAGAGTTTTAGGCGGATATGTCGACGGTTGGTCGAGTGGTTCCTTCAAGCATGGTAGTGATTGATCCCGCATACGAAATGGGGATGGCGCCTATAGAAATGATATTGATACTCCTGTGGCTCAGGAAAACCTAATGCCACTAACACCACATGCTGTCAAGGGAATGTGACTTTCTACTCACAGAAACAGTATTTGCATACTGCGCAGGTATTAAGCTCTGACAAAGGCCCCCCCCTCAGTTCGGACACTAGCTGACAACTACTCTTGAAACCTCGGATCGATAGCTTCTGTATACTGGTTGCGTCTGTTCCTTCCCCTGGCGCCCTTCCCATTCTTCTCTCACGCTTTGGTCAACTCGCCTTCCGCCCAATGCCCAGCGATATTGGAAATTTTGCTGGTATGACATGACAACGAGATTGCGCAAGTTCAGACTTGGATCATCTGATCGTCTTTGTGACCTTCCCCTCGAGCGCCATCGTCGTTCGAATGACAAGAATAGCATGGCCGCGGAGGATTGGGTATTTTAGTTCGGACTTCAATGAAAGCACATGGCATTGGGAAGGGAAGGAAGCCTCTCCTCTGTGGTATCGTTATTCTGAGATGTCGCTCACTCATTCGGCTCTCCCGCAATTTGACTGGCGGTCCACGGTACTAAGTACCTGATACTAGCGTGGCGCTATACCCTTAGGTCTATCCTTACAACTTGCTTGCGATCCCGCTCTCCATCGACGTGGATGACTGAGGGACCCAAGTATGATACAAAGTCACTTGCCGGGTGAACTCGCCAGCTTGCCGTGGTGAGGTATCTCCTTTCCCTCCGTGTTTTGGCCGGCCGTGCACGGAACATCACTATTTCTGGCTGGTTCTACACCCTTAGGATCCTCACAACTTCTTTGTCATTCTACCCCCTACCGAAGCGATTGATTGACGAACATCGGTATGATATGGAGCCATTCGCCGTTGGTTGGGCGCTGGGGTGGACTCGCTGGCTTATGAGGCTGACAAAGCGGTGAGGTGTCTCCCACGTTCTGGCTGCCGGTGCAACGGCATATTGCTTCTATATACTTAGGCCCCTTATTGTCCTACCCTCCAATCAAAGTACGTGGTTGGTAGGTCCCAGTATAATATAAGGCCATTCAACGTTGGTTTCAGGGGTAGCGAATGGTATGAAAACCCATCCTACCTGGGCATCCGCCCAGTAGATATCTAGTGCTACACGTTGGCATACTTGCTGCGAGAATTTGGCATCAAGCTATTGTTTCTAGCATTATTTGGCACGCGGCTCAGTAACGCATGAGTGACGCACGTGTTGACTACTCCTTCGATGCCGCCATCCTTCTGCGAGACTTGACGAAATCATAGATGCGCTCGTAGTGCTGGAGCGAGGCTTGACGATTGCCCTGACGATGCATTATTGTCGGCACAAGACAACGTTACCGCTCACATCCTGCATGGTATTCCATCCAGATAAACAACCCCACATCCTGCGCAATAAGGTCATTCAGCCACCCTTTCCATGCAGACTGCCTGCGCTGCGACCACGAAACAATTAGTCTAGCTCATTTGCCAGGTCACTGCTAAGCGAGGCAAGCTTCAATGTTCTCACCTACTCAAAACGTACTCGCCACCACATGTTTCACACATACGAAAGCCCGATGCATTCGCGAAAGGTTGCGGGATTTCACCCTCGCGCAATTTATTCATCGAACAAGTGCACCCATCTCTTCCAATTGTGGCTCGATCCCCATACAGCTGATCCAGCAACCATAGAACACGGCCCGAGCTTGCATGGTCAGCGCCACAGTAAAACGAATGTCGACCTACGGACTTGGTTTTGGCCCTATCGCTCGCCAACATGTCCATGTCCTGTAACCAGCAATGGAAGTGAGCATCTCACGACTGCCTGCTGTAGAAATTATATCCACATTTCCTCCCAGTATGATAATAACGGGTGCCTGGGTGAGCCATCGCGTGAAGGGGGGGGCGCGGGTAGAGCTTCCCAACGCAGCCAGAATAGATGCGCAGACCATTCTAAACCTCTTCCGCGTCAATGAAATTTCCATATGAAGTTGCCCTTGTCTTTCCATTCGCGGCTCTTTGATGTTTGATAAGGAGTCTGACAAGACTTAATTGATGACGCTCGTCTGATGATGCACTTTTATGACGTACGTCTGACGTCGCTTGTTGATGACACTCGCGTGATGACGCTTATTTGATAACTGGCTCGGGGTTGCGGGTTTCGCGGCGGACCGCAGTACTCAGACTGCACTCAGACTGAGCCTTTCAACAGCCATCTGCTGGCTCTGGTTATTCGCTGGCTCCGTAGGCGAAACATAAAAACCCGTATGACTAACGAGCAGAAGGTGCAATTGCAAGTTTCCCTTTTTCATTACTGTATCAATACTGATCCTCTTAGCAATGCCTGCCGATCGTCGATGTCCTCCACTTCATATGACTCATGGAGAAAGAAAAAAGATCCGCTGTGGCCTCTAGCTTCGCTCCATCCTTGTTGGATCGCTCCTCCCTAAGATTTGGTTGATGACACATCTCTGATACTAGTGCCTAGATACGGGAAATTTCAGTTTCGCAGGGGATCGCACGGATTCAGCCTTTCAAGATAGCCCTTTGGAGAACCTAACTTAGCTATCAACCGCTCCCTTCAACGGGAGGGTCCTGAAGCGGTTTGATCCATATTTTGCCGCCCAGATTGCGGGATCATCAAGCTTGCGCGCTGGGCAGCTCCCTATATTAAGAGTTTCACGTCGTGCCGTTTTGAGCTTGGGGTGTCTTACTGACAGGTGTTACAGATTGCTGAGTTTCTCCATGCTATCCACCCTCGACTCCCCGACTGGCTAAATTATCCTTCTGTAATTCTCAACCTTCCGTGAGACGTGGTCCAGGTTGTGCAGCCCTCGGCGCCCCTCGCACGGGAACCCATTCGCCCGGTGTAGATTTGGCTAGCGGGGTGAGAATCGAAGCAAGGGCTTTGTTCTGACGTAGATGGTGAGCTGGCACCACGGAGTCAGCACTCAGTCCCATCGTGGCGTAGAGCCTACGCCCAGCATTCCACCCAGCCATTGGAACCACGCGCACCCCTTCGGATCATACACCTTTGTCTCCACGATGCCGACCTGCTTCCCTCCTTATGGCCGATAAATATAGGAATTGTTCCTCCAAACAATAGGGATGGTTCGTTTCAGAATTAATGGCACCGTTACCCCGACGGAATTTGGAATACCAACATTGACATAGATTAAGAGAAGGATGTTCTCTGCCACAGAGTACTGATGCTCCTGCTTCGTCTTGGGCCTTTGGCTGGTTTTTCACCAGACACTAACCATGTCCTTCACGGTATCAATTACTCCCGTGCAGGCTTATGCCTGTGTGAATCTGTTTATTATTGTTCTCCTGCGCAGCGACAACCGAGGAAGGCTACATTCATATCTGCACCCCGCATGACTGTCCCTATGCCTCGAATAATTACCCGTGTCACTTGTTGGAGGAACCGTGTGCTATGGGAGGCCGGACGAGTTTTCGTACAGCCACATTCCCACACCCGAGCGAGGAACTCGCCCGGACAGCCACATTCCCGCGGTAGCGTGACTACTTGGTCACAACACCTTTTCTTCTTACTTATTTTGGTCACTTCGGACTTATCCGCGAAGTCCACAAACTATATTCAATCTTTTGAATTAGTTTCCCTTTCCCTCAGTTCTCGCGCATATAGTGAGACTGAGCTTTACTACTAGAGCAAGCGGTTATTCCGTTATCACTTTCCTACATGTTCCTCCAGTCGGAGAGTCACATAGTTTGGAAGACATGAAGTTAAGCTTCGAAGAAATCATTAAGTTTATCTGTTGGAGAAATGGCAGCGTCCATGTCGATTGAGGTGATGATTTGCTCACGGCCCCCTGGGAAATCCCCGCATTTTGGGACAATGATCACTTCGCATTCTGCTCAACTCGCGTTTGAGTTGGCCACCCACACTGCAATAGCACCCGAGACAGATGCGCGCATGCACTGCATGACATCGTTCTGCGTCCCAGTGATTGAAGTTATCCTCGCCCGGGGTACCGGGCGATGCGGCCCAGACAATATCGGTGCCTTCGTCAATCGACCAACACAAACCAGCATGATTCTATTCCGGGACATGTTTTCTAATGAAGCCTGTATGATGTGCACCTAGCACGAACCCCAACCCTGGACGCTGCTCTAATCAGGGTGTGTGAGTTCGCCGGCAGCTAGTACCAAGTGCTCCGACTAGTTTGAGTAACTTATGGCTCTTAAGGCATTGATTTGAGCCGTCCCTAGTTTCAGAGCCTTTCCTTGCCATCGGCTACCTTTCCCGCCTCCTTTGATCCCTCCACCGCCCGAATTTCCGGCTTTCTTGGCCCCTTCCCTGGTGGCAGGTTGGACAGGGGGATCTGTGAGAATAGGATCAGTGCGTATCCGCTCTGTGGCTTTCGCAACGAGCGTGGGGTCGCCTAGGATCACCATCGGACCTGGACCATCTTCTTTCGTGATGCCACCTTGGCCAACATCACGGTATGTTGTCGGAGTTACAAGAATGGTGAGACCAGTTGTGTCGTAGGTTAAGTTTGGAAACATGGTAAGGGGTTGTTTTAGTTCGGATTGCAATGAAAGGATGAAGTCCATCCCGGCTGACGAATCTTCGCAAACCCTGGAAACGAAGGCTCTCCGTTTTGCGTCACTGCTACTGTTGGAGGCCATTCCGCTCTCTTCCATAATCTGGGTGACTCCATTGAAGGATCTTTTAATATTCTCTGCTTCGAACTTAGCCAACTCGGCTTCGAGCCTCCGTTTTGCTCGTTTCGCGTCCCTTAGTTCCAGATCTATCTTCGTAACCTTCGAAATCACGTTCTCTAAGTCGGAGATGGATGCAGATACAATGCCCGCGATGGACCGTGCGGCACGGATGGAGTACGTGGCGAGGGTTATGGCACGTTGGCCGCAAGTGAAGTATAGACGTGTATTAGTGCCTCGAATGGGTTGAGTGTGGGAGATAAGAATGAGTGAGATGTGGGATGTTTGAGAGAGATGGGTTCCGCAGCATCTACGATAAGGGCAGGCTGGAAATCAGCCAGTATTATCAGGGTCATGAAAAGGAGCGTACGGATTTTCATCGATGCCGTCTATTTTGACAACCCGAACAAGTCCTTGTGACGCGTCGTAATCAGATGGAAGAGAAGTGGTGTCTGCATCCGACGGTGTGTCAACGGTGACCTGACGGTTCTCTGCTATAATACTATTACATCTATGCTGGATTTCTGAAATTTCTGCGTCCGTTGGTTTCCGACCCAACTCGACGAAATTCATGTTGGGCATAAGGGAAGGACCTGAAGTTGAGACACTGTTGTGCTCCCTGTTGAAGTCTTCATCTTTAGAAATACTGGCCCCCATACTCCACCCTAGAGTCTCGAGGCCTTGGTATGTATCCATAACTGCACTCAGAAGATGCTGGCCCGTGTGCTGCTGCATGTGGTCCCATCTTCGATCCCAAGATACTTCCTGTACAACTTTAGTGCCTGGTTCGAGCGGTGACGAGGAGAAGTGTACGGCGCGCAGTCCATGCCGAGCTATGCGAGTAATGAGGATTTCAGCTGGTTGGGATGCATGTGTTCTCTCGCAGAGTTTGATTAGTCCATGATCCTCCGGTTGACCGCCACCTGTTTATATATATATGTATGGGAGACTCAGAGAACGCATTGCAATGCAGTGCACAGCGCGCACTCAACCTTCTGGAAAGAGTACCGTATCCTCAAACTCGATTTCGAACGATTTCAAGTCAGCCGCTGGCCGCTTCTCTAATGGGATGGATTTCAACTTTTCTTCCGAGCTTCCAGTGCCGCTGGAATTATTCTTGGGAGTACTGGGCACGCAGGACACAACAGTGGTCTCCAGTCGCCGTAGATACGAGTTGCGCTGACAAGCAAGATTGCCAACGATAGAAGGCATTAGTCCCGTTCTAGGTATGAAGTGGGTGAGCTGAGAGTTTGGACTTGGCTGGTCACTTGCCTAGGATATCGATAGGTGTGGTGATCGTGGGAAATTTCTTTCCGGCTGCAAGACTGCAAGACTGCAAACCGACTAAGTAATAGCGAATACTCCTTCGACGTGCATCTGCATGATGATGACTGTGGTCATGCTGCGGGGTGCTCAGAAATGCTCTACTGTATGTTGTTGATGCGGCTATCCAGCGAGCTTTGAATTGGAATTGTCTGATGAACTCAAGAAACATCCACCCCGTGTTCCACTCAAAAGTGTATCCCTAACGATGACATCCTGTTCCTTGGTCGAAGAGTTGGTAACTACGTGGGACTCAGACCTCCAGACGACACACTAATATAGCGCATCATAAAACACGATGGCCAAGGGTAGAACGCAAAGTTCTTCCTGCAGTGGTTAAATGGCTCCACAAGCTGGGATGTGCTGCGTGGAAAAGCGGCACTGAATGATTGTTTAGATGTCTTAGGGGTCAGCACTATTACGAACCTGCGACAAGAGAATATCCCGCTATCAGACATAACTGAATATAAAAATTGTCTAACCTTTGCGATGATATCCATTGGACCCGTCTCTAACTCATCCACACCCCGCTCTTCAGCACAGAAACCAGCGATGCAACTCCTCACGGCAATGCTCACTCCCTTCTCTCATACAATCATACCTCCTCAACATTGAGCCTCTTCTGGGTGGCGTGATCGAGTCTGAATAGGGCGTGAATATTATAGCATCCGTGTGTTTGCGAGGTGTAGTTATGGAGGGGTTGGTCGAGCTAGGGGTGGGGCCTTTTATACCTTCAGTCACGTCTGATATTGGAGTGTCATTTTGTCGTAGACTTGTAATGTTGCAAGGTTGGGTGCAGCCCAATAACCTTTCGGACGCTATACTTAGCGCAATAAAGAGCCATGGTCTCCCTTTTCTCGAAGCACAAGCCATCCTAAACCCTGGAGTAGTAATCGGAACAGGTAATCGCTTTATGCGACCTTCAATGTCACTCCCTTCTTTGCATTTCAATCGAGGACCTCCTCACCATGGACCACCATCTATTCGCCAAGGCAGCCGTGGTAGGGTCAATCACTCGAAGCCCAGGCCTAGGCCTTATCACGACACCTGGAACGAGGTGGCGTCTAGTGCAGTGTACTCAACACCCATGTCCTTTCGGTAACGCAAGCAATGTGAGCCAGGGACCGGCCAACATGATAATCAATGCCACCCCCACTTACATATCTGGCAACAGCTGTAGCAATTTCATGGATAGCAACTGAATTTACCATCGCTGTCGGGCACTTAGGCAATCTATTGATAATTACAGATGGAGGACACGAGCGTCGTGCTGACCCAAGGAAATGAGGTGAAACTAGTATCATTACTTCATTGTTTGTTTGTTCCTTAATCATATAACGAGCAATGGTTTCTATACACAGGATCAGGCTGTTACAGCTCACTCAAAAGTTTATATAGTTGCTACTTACGGGAAGCCTAGATATAGTTGCTGTCCGTGAAATTGCTGCAGCCCCTGTCAGATGTATAAGCAGGGCCGGCATTGTTTATTATGTTGACCGGTCCCTGGCTCGCATTGCCCGCGTTACCGAAAGGGTATAGCGTTGAGCATGCTGCACTGGACGCCACCTCATTCCAGGCATCGTGATAAGGCCTGGGGTCTGAGTGATATTGACCCTGCCACGGCCGCGGCCGCCTCGGCGAATATAAGGTGTTCCACAGTGAGGAGGTCCTCGATGAACGCAAAGAAGGGCCCGGGGGGCGTTGGGGTTGGGGTTCACAATTGAATGTACATGATGGGATCCTTAGTAGGGTTGACTGGTCGGGGTGACGGAGTCCTCTAGCTTGTGGTGTCGGGTTTATTGTCTGTACTGGATATCTGTATTGTATGAAGGCTGGAGTGGCAATACCAGTAAGATGCTCTGTTGAATTGGCTAGAGGCTTTGGCAACCGTTCCGTGCCGATGTGAAAATACGGGGTTATTGAGCACGCACGCGAGATGTCAGAGTCGATCGGAATGGACCCAGCCGCCAATCGTTCCAGCAGCGACGCCAGAAGCGGCCGCGCGGGGCGCCAATTTGGCAACCGCAGTGACTGCCAAAAGCGGGAATCAATCGGATGCAAACTCGGTTTAGGCGCAAAAGGTACAGCCAGTTACACTGCCCGCAACCGCAGGGCAGTTCCACTTTGAGGTTGATCCTCGGCATTAGCTCAACCTTTAAACACTCTACTCTCACTGAGGCACTCACTGATATTGTTTTCCTTTGAGAATAAGGTTGACCAAGGATCAACCTTTCTATCATGTCGCGGCAATATTATGATTATCCAGAGGTTTGGTTGAGCAAAATTTAAGCTGCGGAAAGCTAACAGGGGTGCTCAGGATCCCGAATCTCAGAGACACCAGCCTTTGCGAACCCCAGGACCTGACCGCCATGGGGCAAGCCCTGCATATGGCTACAACGATGACGGACCGCCGATTCCACCACCTCCAGGGGGGTATGGTTCTGAGCTTCCAAATCCTTTTGAGCCTCAAGCAGACCCCTTCATAACTCCTCATCCTTCATATGCATCATTGCAAGGTGGCTATGGCTACGATCAATATGAACGCCCGGCGTCAACACAACCTAATGACCAGTATGACCCGTCTCAGACTCCGTCTTCATCTTCACATCTCCAAGGATATCACCTGGAAGATGATGGCGTGCCGTCTTACCAGGATACCATACCTCTTGTGCCTAGGAGGGGTGGTCGTGATGCTGCCTTTCCGGATGAGGAAGCCGAGGTGGGGGCAGAAAATTACATCCATTATGGGAGAATCCCCCAGCGCATTCCCAGGAGATTTAAAACGACGAAACGGGTGCAGTGAGTACAATATTGCGTCTCATGATGCAGACAGACATTGATTAACAAGTTCTAAGGCTTTACAATGGAAACCTTGTTTTGGATTGCCCTGTTCCTCCTAAACTTCTTGAACTATGTCCACTCAAGAATGAGAGGGAGTTCACCCACATGCGGTATACTGCGGCAACATGCGACCCCGATAACTTTCGAGTATGCTTATTCAATAGTTCGCCCGTCCTTTGAGCTGAACGTGGCTCATCACAGGATGAGGGATATGCATTGCGGCAAGTTCTCTATGACCCGCCTCGTAAAACAGAACTTTTCATTGTCATGACCATGTACAATGTACATTGTTTTATCTCTCCTTTTCGTCTTCGAAGCTGATTCTTTCTGATCATAATAGGAAGATGACGAACTTTTTGCACGAACTATGCATGGTGTTATGAAGAACATTCAACATCTTACTACCCGCACCCGATCAAGAATCTGGGGTGCTGAGGGATGGAAGAAAGTCGTTGTGTGCATTGTTTCGGACGGACGCTCGAAGATCAACTCGAGAACGCTTTCTGCTATTGCTTCCTTGGGAGCTTACCAGGATGGAGTTGCGAAGGTATGGAGAGGTGGTTCTGACACAAACTGTTCGGTCATATTGAACGCATAATTCATACGATTAGAATATTGTCGGAGACAAGCCTGTCGTGCGTAACAGTTCTTTCTCGAGCTCACATAAACCCATTTTGTTCACCACTTTTTCCGTCGCAGACGGCTCATATCTACGAATACACGACCCAACGTAAGCATTGAACGTTACATATTCTCTCCTCGAGGATTTTTTGTTCATTCCGATCGACAGTTGCGATTACGGCGAAAAAACGGATTCAGGGTGCTGAACGAGGCGCAGTTCCAGTTCAGATTCTCTTCTGTTTGAAGGAAAAGAATGAGAAAAAAATCAATTCCCACCGGTCCGTGTCGACCTTTTTAACGCATGAAATTATTTCTTGCCGCTACTCACTGTCATTATCACAACTCAGGTGGTTCTTCAACGCTTTTGGTCGGGTTTTGGACCCCAACGTTTGCGTTCTACTAGATGTGGGAACTCAACCAGGAAATACATCCATCTACCATCTCTGGAAGGCATTTGATCTTAATTCAAACGTTGGTGGAGCGTGTGGCGAGATTGTTGCTATGAAGGGAAACTGGGGTTTGGATTTGTTAAAGAATCCTCTAGTCGCTGCTCAGAACTTCGAATATAAGGTGAATCCGATTGGAGATGATGCTAATTAAGCAATGTGACTGATCCCGGAGGGCAGATGAGCAATATCCTGGACAAGCCACTCGAGTCGGTATGGTTCTTGGCACTTTATACCTTTCCGAACCCAGTTGTAACGGCGTCAATCCAGATATTTGGTTACATTACCGTGCTTCCTGGAGCTTTCAGTGCATACAGGTGAGTTTCGATCTCCCCCTCCCTATCCTTTATTGTAAGGTTTCCCTGCCAGGTACGTTGCTCTTCAGAACGACGCGATAGGAGAAGGGCCTCTTCAGAAGTATTTCCTGGGGGAGAAGCTGGCAAGTATCTCTCCCTATGACAATAATTGTTTTCTGATACGTCTCACTCAAGCACGGTGCTGGCGCCGATATCTTCACTTCTAACATGTATCTTGCTGAGGATCGGGTACGTTTGAATGCGAATAATGTTGATTTACGCTGCCGCCAACCTATTCGGCGCATCCTCAGATTCTCTGCTGGGAACTCGTGTCGAAGCGTGGCGGTTCTTGGATCCTCCATTACGTCAAGTCAGCATATGCAGAAACTGATGTACCTGATCAAGTCCCCGAACTTATCAGTCAGCGTCGTCGATGGCTGAATGGTTCATTCTTCGCTGTGAGTTTCGGGCATATTGAAGGCCGTGTGTCTGTATGCTGATGCAGCATTTCCTGAATTCAGGCTATTCACGCTACTCTCAAATTTGGTTACATCTACCGAAGTTCCCATACGTTCTGGCGCAAATTTGCGATACATGTCGAAATGGTGTATCAAACATTTAATTTGATGTTTTCATGGTTTGCTCTGGTAAGCATATCTTGACATCCAGTGGGTCCCCTTTCTGAGTCCCCATTTTCCAGGCAAACTTTTACATTGCTTTTGTGAGACAAGGCATGATACTTTAATAGACGAGCGCTTATACTTCCGTGTTCTAGATTATCCTTACCAAAGCCATGGAAGATCCCTCATTCAATTTGAAGCATATTGATATCTTTAACAACGTATTGCAATATATCTATCTGGGCCTTGTTGTCATGTGTTTCCTCCTCTCTATGGGAAATCGACCTCAAGGGTGAGTTTATCCCCGAAGGCGCGACCGCTGCACTCATTCATGCACCCGCCCAGTTCAAAGTGGGGTTATACAACAGCAATGATTGGCTTTGCACTTATCACGGTCTACATGACTGTGAGTCCCACGCGATCGAGTTCTAACCTTGTCATCCTTATCACGGTGATCAGTTTGCGGCTTTCTTCCTTGCGTTCAAGGGTATCCAAGCTATTGAAGGAGGATCAAAAGGGAAATCCCTCTGGAGCAGTTCTATTTTCAGGAACATCGTTGTCTCCTTGCTGGCGACAACTGGTCTTTACCTAATTGCGTCATTTTTGTTCGTGAGTAAATTTTGTGCTTGGGAACATACACCCTATCTGTAACGCTGTTTGCATTGCTCCAGTTCGAGCCTTGGCATATGATTACATCGTAAGGGACCTCTCAATTGCACAACTCGAACCAATACTGAAATTTACACAGCTTTATCCAATATATCCTCATGGCACCTTCTTATATCAATGTACTCAATGTTTACGCTGTAAGTCACCCTACCTCCCATATTGTGATTCGTACTAATCATGTTGTGAACAGTTTGCCAACGTTCAGTAAGCCCACATTCTATATCTCCTTGTTTTGTCCACTTAATGGATTCCCAGTGACGTATCATGGGGTACGAAGGGTGATAATGCACCTGTGAAGACAGATCTTGGGGTTGTTGCCAAGCCAAAGGATAACAATGTGGATGTGGTTGTTCCAACTGAAGAAAAAGATTTGAATGCCGCTTACGAGGATGCCCTTGCCGTACTTGAGAGGTGAGCAATAATGTTGGTTTGGCCCTCGGGAACTTGACGAGAACGGACGTTTCCAGCAAACCCCCACCTGCTGAGGTCAAAGTGGACGCTGGTCTGCAAGAACAGGATTACTACAAGCAGGTCCGAACCAAGTAGGCGGCTTTTTTTTTCCCTTGTATGCGATGGTTCAAGCTTACACTCTTACGCAGCGTAAGCATCTTCTCACCAAACGCTATCAAAGTATGTGATGTTTAGTTATTTACCTGCAGGTTTTGCTGGCTTGGACTCTTTCGAACGTAAGTCCTGAAGATCCTTCATTCCCGTGGATACTCATCGCCTGTCCTGTTACCAGGGTGCTTTGGCGGTGGCAATTCAGTGCGTTTCCTCCCAACAGCGTTGTCCCAATTGTACTGGATATTGACATCTATTTCAGGCATGCGACAACGAAGGGCAGCAAGGCTGTTTCTGGGTATATGGCCTTCTTGCTTTTCTCAGTGGCAGGACTTGCCTGTACGTCAAAGGCCTCATTCTTCTGTACCTCTGTCAACCTCATCCCGCCTTTTACAGTCTTCCGTTTTTGCGGATCAACTGCGTACCTTGTTGTTAGGTTATTTGCAGGAGAGTGATCACATCCTCGTTTTTTGCTATCGATCTCCTCACTTATGCCGCTGCGATTTGGGACACATTGATGGACTATTGGATCTAATTTCATATGCCACAAACGTTGCCAATATATATGGCTGTACTTGATTTATTTGGATCGCTGTGAGCATGGTGCTGAACGCAAGCGAACATGCATTAGCTCGTTGGTCATCTAAGATACTCTGTCATCATTACAAACATCTATATATAGCGTTTCTAATGTTCCAGAATGATTTGGCGGTGCGTGTTAGCTTAATATCAAACGAAGTTGCGAAGAGGCAGCCACGAGCAGTGGCATTATCGACTACCGAGCTTATCTAAAACCTGGACTCTACAGAGGTCGGTTTTGATAACACTTCCGAATTTCGATATCCCGAGGAAACTCTCAGGTATTGTGCACAGTATCGTGACCGACGGTAATGGGGAAAAAGAGGAAAGCTTCAACTATTGTGAAAATTTAAAAAAAAAAAAAAAAGGAATGAGATATTTTTTTTTTGTGTGTTGGGTGCTCGAATTTGGGAGAGCACGTTGGCGAGAGGGATTTTAGCGGATTAACACGGAGATGAGCTTTTAACGACGTTCCAATGCAGGGCATTGCAATCAATTAATTAATCATGCTCGTTTCTTGATCGAGCGATCAGTTGGGGAAGACAGCTACAGGTGGCCGCGACGCCGAATTGGGGGTGGATTAGATCCGGGCTACACTCCTCGTGTACACCTAATGTATGTTTCTCGATGGCTGCATGTTAGAAAAGCTTTTGGCACCATGCAGGGCTCGAAGCAGACCAGACAAGCAGGGAAATTAAAAATTGGCCTCGTGGTCGATCATGATGGATGGATGGATTGATGGTGGACAAAGGCGAGGCGCGAACACCCGCACGCGCACGTACTAGTCTCGGAAGGAACTTGGCCGAGGTTTCATGCAGGGTTCCCAGTGGGATCGCCATGCATGAAACTTATCGGAAACGCGAATGGCTTCCGTGAACGAATTCTCCAATATTATTATGGCCCGCAAACGTTATCCAGCCCCAATGATGACGGTGCAAAACAAAATTAAAAAAAAAAAAAAAAAAAAAAAAGCCTCCAAAAGAGCCCAAAACCACCTCATGCTCAGATGCGCCCAAATCTTCAGATTTCATACACTTTCCGGGGTTAGTTTTCAAGTGCGTTTTTGACGAATAACGTTACAGATATGCGCCATACAGTAGGCACACCCCAACCATCAAATCAGGAGAAATACCACTAGAAATAGGTATCCTAAGTCGGTACAACAGCCTGGTTAGGTGGTAGACCTCTTCGTCAAAGACTTTCCATGCCCATCCGGGTCCGGAGCGTTGAGCGGAGCTGCCGTAAAGATGGTATCCCGGACTTCTCGGTTCATGAAACTACTAGCGTATTCCACCTCCTCCTTGCTGGGGTTGAGCGAAATTTGGCAAGGGAACAGGGAATACTGTGGGCACTTCCGCCGGGCATTTTTGGTCCTCATGAGTCATGAGCTAGTAAACGCCGGAAGAAGACCATTCTCGGGTTGGAGCGAGGAGGTATAAGTTCTCCAGCACATTTTCCACCTCCTGAAGCCCCATATGTTCTGGGGGTTGGCCTCCTCCGTAAGTTTGCGGTAGCACTCCGGATTTTGCGGTCACGCGTCCAGCTAGATGTAATGACGATGGATCGGTCGAATTCCCTGGTCCAGTCTTTGAGGGCCTCTCTGGTTGTGCGTAATTCCCGATAAGCTTTGGATGGCTCAAGGTTTTGATGCGCTGCAGGGGTTACAGGGCTGATTCTTGAGCAGGACGACGCAGCGGAGGATTGCTTACATACGCACCACCAGATCGCCCGCCGAACCACAGCAGCTTTGGCTTCCATCCCGGAAATTGTAATTAACACTTCGATTGCTGATTGAAATTCAATGCCCACTACACAAACGAAGGTGGCCAGATCGAGGAGTTAAGTGAACCATTGCTGAATGCTTCTACATTACGAAGTCATAGAGGCTGGATGGGAGTCCTTAGTCAGTACTTCATCTACCGGAAATACACGTGTGGGACCTTACCTAATGTCGTTGTGTCATGCTGCATGTGAAACCCGATGACTTGCCGATGACCGCAGTGCCGGCTCCAACCCAATAGACTGCCTAAGTGCCGGCCGGGTCCTAAGGGATGTGTGGCCGTAGACTCGCCTCAACCTCAACTCTTACTCAGACTTCCCTCACTCCCCGTATAACTAGCTTTCTCCTGTCCCGCTTTCACACCAATTTTCAGTCTACGCTAACAGCCAGTTCAGAGACTAGCGTTCAACGATGGCTGCCACTACTACAACATCCGCAGTTGCGTCAACGAGCAATTCGCCCACGACTAAAGAGAAGTTGAAGCAAGGATACAAATCTGTCGAGACCAGGGCGTGGAAGGTATCCAATTTCCTTGGGACTAAGATGAACTACTTGGCAAGCAAAGTCGGCTCCGAGGTAAGGTCCTCACTGCTGTCCCCGACTTGGTCTGGAAGCTGCGCGAGAGATCTGATCTTTACCTTTGGACGTACGGCGGTTGTTGAATAGGCGTTCTATCCGCAGCCTCTTGCCGTTGGTGCGTTTGATTTTTCCACGACCTCTCCTCTCTCTCTCTCCAATTCCTATCTAACTTTTTCACCTCAAACAGAGGTGGAGAAATGCAGTCGTATCTTGCGCTCATTCACCAGTATGTATACATCCTCAACCAAGGCCCTCCCTAATCCCTTCATATCCATTTCACAACGTCTCTCCACTGCATGAATAGCTGCAAGTGAAATACTCGAGGTAGAGACGAGCGATGGGAAGACAAAGAAGAAACAACGGGTTGCAGTTCAGATTCCACAGAGAGTATGCCATATCCTCTTCTCTAATCCTCCCTTCCCTTCCCACTCGCTGACATGTCCGTGGCCGATTCGGCATCACTTGTCTCCTTTTACAGCTCCTGATATCGGCTAAAGGTCTGTTATCTCACCCCCACCCCCCCTGGCACCCTGGCACTCAATAGTTCGTTATCACCGTAAAATCAATTTAGGGTTGGCAATTTACACCGTGTGCCGAACGGGGCTGGGTTTATCAGCTGCCAGTGGGAGTGGTGTCGTCATTGCCAGGAATCCAGATGGGTGTACGTACAAGCGTCTAGTATATAATATTCTTCTTCATATTACTGATTGCTGCTTTTTTTTGGCATTTTTGGCATTTTATCCCCGCGCGTGTGTGTGTTCTGTTCGGGAATGAAACGTCCGGGTGTGCTTGTCCTCATCTTCCGGTCCGAAAACCACAACCTCCTGGGTTGGGCTCCTTTCAATAATTCGGGGGGTGTCTTTTTGTTTTCCAATGTGAAATCCAGCATGGGGATCTCCTTCCGGGATTTTAATCCACACCATTGGATTTGGGTTCCTTGCAGGTGTGTTTTTTGGAGTTTTTCACTCCCCTCTCTTATTCGGAACATGTCCGCGAGGGCGCGAAGATGAACGATGACAGCCCGAGCGAGACGAATCTTGCGCTCCGTTTTAGTCGTTCATTGTGCAGGGGGTGCTGAATACAGTGGCACAAATCGCCAATCCATATTCCTCGTCGCACTCCCCCCTTTCACTGCTCTTATCATATTTTCAGTCGATATTTTTTTGGTCATCGATTTACTGACTGATGGTTTGAAATCTTTTAAAACAGGCGCAGATATATACGACGTTGTCTTGATTCTCCGGAATTCGCGAGCCGTAAAGGCATTTGCTAACCCCAAAGTATCAGTAGGCGGTGAACTGACCGTAACTGCCGGTCCGATCGGAGCGGGTGCTGTGGTGCGTTGTTTTGGTTGCGGTGGTGGTGGTGTGATGTATTAATGTTGTGGCATCGTCGGGGATCCGTTAGGTTGACACGGGGATTGAACTCAGTCCAGTGTTAAGTTATATCAAAAGTCGAGGGTTATACGGCGGTGTCCAGGTAGACGGTGCGTGTGTACCTTCCTTCAGTCGTCATTTCTGCCTGAATAGCGTGTCCTCGTCCCCTAACTTTCTTCCCCCCCCAGGTAACATCGTCATCGAACGGAGCGACGAAAACGCGCGCTTTTACGGACGAAAGATACGTGCGAGACACATTTTGGGTGGGAATATCGAACGCCCTTCAGATGCGGACATACTTGTGGCCACGATCGAGAGTGCGGAGGGGAGACATATCGAGCCGATTTTTAGACCTAGCAACATTGTGACTTTTGGCGATGATGACCAGGAAGAGGATATTATCGCTTCGCCGAAGGTGGGAGAGAAGTACTAAGGTAGATGACGTTTGAAAGATTGGTTTTGTTTTTTTTTGGCGATATCGCCTTTTTTTTTTTTTTTTATTTTGGTACTCTGTAACCCGGTTCAAGTTGTTTCTTTTCCCCCTTGTCTAATATCATGGTTCTCTCTTTGGTCCCAAGATTTTGTACTGTACATTTAATCCACATATCCTCCAGTGTATTCATGATGCATCACGGAATACGCATTCACTTTGCGTGGCGGATCGACCCCCCGGGCCGGTGGCCGATGATATGATGGCTGGGGATCGAAAGTCCTACTATGAGTAAATGGCTTCACTTGGGCTTCTCTAGAAGGTGTGGGCTGGAGAATGTGAAAGGTGCCCTTGTGGGTTTATGGGCGTGCATAAATCGGTGGTACCTATTAGACCGAGACAGCGGGTTCTAAACGGGATGCATCGTATATGCATTAGGGAAAGATCCACTTTTTTTTCTTATTTCCTTCCGGAGAATTTCTTCCAATCCAGACAAGCGACGCTCACGAAGCAAATCTGAATGGGGGTCTTTTTTCGCCGGAAATGATCGTTCTCTGTGGATTAGTACGTCGTAAAGAGTCTCTCTCGGCAGCGACGTGACTATATACTATGGTCCTAGGATTGAGATTGAAGTGTAAAAAGTCTTCTCCATGGGGACTGGTACCCATGCCATGCCATGCTGACGCTTCATATATCCTGATGTAGTGGTCTGCGACGACGTGATGCTGCCTGTGGGGAGGATTGAGTTGAAGGGCTGTGTGTACTTTGTCGTCTGAGTTTTACCCCCATCTTTGGCGTGTGAGAGGTATGAGGTTTAACTGTCATCTCATCGCGGGTGGAGCCAAGGGATAGGAGGTATCCTGGAGCCGTGCTGCCTTCCGTTCACGCCAATTACAGTCTCGTCTCTTAACCCCCCATCGTAACCTCATGCATTGGGCCCGTTCCGCGCGCCTTTAAGTCTTCATGCTTGCCATCCATGTACGCGCATAAGTAAGTGCAGCTTGGTTTGATATACTGGCTGTATTCTATACATTCACCCGTTGGAATCGACTCTTTGATTCTGAGTCATTCCAACTTAAGTGGCGTAGTCAAAGGATGTGGATCTCCCAACGACTCAAATGACCATCCCACCAGCTTCGCCTTCATCGAGGAGATATCGCTATCGTCGCCCTAACCATTGAGGTTCTCTGGCGGAATGCAAGTTGGGATAACGGTCGTCCCTCGATCTATTCCCCAGTGATTCGTCAAAATGACGATGGCGCGAGGGGGAAGGGGTGGGACGACGTTGGTACTTATAGAGAATTGCGACATCCTCGGGGCACGCATGCGAGCATGTGAGTACTTGAAGTGTTTGTTACACATGTTCTTGTGCATAATTTTCAACAGGATTCTTCCATTCTACCGTGGCCAGTCTTCATCGGGTACTGTTACCATCCAATGGCTTGTGGGGATGTTCTATCCAAATTAGGTATTGAGTTCCCTGTCACTAGCGTTCCAGTGTCCCCTCGATCGCATGGCCTCCCGGTCCCCGGTTCCAACCGGGCTCTTTCGATGTTCCTTTCTACCGTACGGATCATCAAAAGATGGTTTGCCTTTTCCCTTTACATTGATTTTCATGGACCTACGGGGATGACGTGGAAGTCATTTAGTCGTACTCTGGCGGAGCTGGCCGTCTCAGATATCGATATCGTGTCTAAGAGGTTTCAAAGACTCTTTACCATCACGGGGAAGGATAATGGCAAGGAAAGATGTGAGAAATGACGGGGACGATGGCCGATGAGAATGATGTAGTAAGCATTATGTAATCTGTCAGCAAGGGAAACCTGCCACAGCGGGCCCATACTTTCATCTGCTCCCCAACGTAGGAATCGATCGAACTCCCGCGTGACAACACACTTATCATTTACCAATGAATGCTCCGAGGAACCTAACCGTTTCCTCGGTTTCGCTCTGGCAGGACTCCAAGCCTCTATGACCAACAAAAAAATATATGGTTTCGCTGGATTTTCAATTGGGGCTGGCTGCTCATGCATACTTTTATGGAGAGGTGGCACCCGCTAACTGTGCTGATCACATCGTGGTCGGATCTCATGACGCGGATGGCCCCACCGTGGGAAGGCAAGCTGGCCATGTCTGCCTGCCATTCTCCAATGCGGCCTCTCAGTTGGTTTGAGATGCTGTCTAGGCGGCGGCAGTGGATTTATTCATCCTATCTCTATATATGTGCAGCACTTACACACCCATACGGTGCCTGTGCGAAGTAACTGGTAATCGTATCACTCGAAACAACTTGTTGATCGGCTATGTGGTTCCCCACCCCTGCACTGTGACAACGAGTCCATCGTCTTATTCTGCTAGAATTTAGGCTTTGATTCCTGGCGCCCTTCGAGCCCTTTCATCCACTCCTACTTGGCTAGGCCGTCGCTTCCGTCTCCGTGACATCATTCACATGGTGGAGCTAATGAGTGGTTTCTGCTTCGTTCCAGTCGTCGCCACCCGGTTTATCAGAGAAAACACACGAGCCTAGCTTGTAGGATTCGACGTTTCCGTACGGCGTGTATTGCATGGCTGACGCTGTAGCTTAAGTCAGGGTGTGGTGATCAGCGTTATTAATCTCGACTCTCTGTTGTGATTTGCGACCAGATACATAATTAATTAATCACAGTCCCTGATCGGAGTGAATCTGTTCACATAGCCAGTGAAATTGATCGCAAGGTTCATGACAGCCTGTCTGAGGCGCTTCTCTCATTGATTGACCAACTATCCAGTCCTGGCTGGTCATATTCATTTCACGTAACGTGTAATACCCCGGTTGTTCGCACCAGAATGAAGACCGTGTGAGTCCCCGAAGACGGATCGTCATGGCTTTACGAGTAGATGTTTAGACAATCTTTGTTTTGTTCTCGAATGTGTTCCACGCAGTCAATGGAAAGCTTGTGTGCGCAGCGGACGGCACGTCGTGTGGGGTCGTGCAGGGGGTAACACACTGGTCATCACATGCAGCAGCGACCAACACTATGAGCCTGGGAGAACTTCTGCTTGGGGCTTGGCACGGTGCACCGGTCCAAGGTGAGTGGGGATAGAGACTTCATTCGGCCTCCGTGTAAGATGGTGATGGACTGGCCTTCAAAATTGATGGATTCACACCCTAAAACAACGTGGTTATCAGTGCGCGTGAGAGTGCATGAGATCGATGTTGTTCAAAACATGTTCTTTTGCCATGCGCCGACAATTTTTATCTTCAGAGTCGACCGCTACGACCAAGCCACGCTACTGGGTTCAACCGATGGGCTACATCGAGGCACCTTCACGAGCCCTGTATGCTGCAGACACAGTGGAACATTCGATCCATCACAGCTGGAAATGACAGCAAACCCTCGGTGGAGGTGGAATTTGCCGATTGTATTAAAATACCAATACACGTGTATTAAGGAATAGACGCTTGCGCTGCAGCGAAGGTAAGAGTGAGCATAACTACCATTACGGGCCACATGTTCCACATCCTTCGGCCGCCTGTGTTGGCCGCGTCTATTGGGTCTGTTGAGCGTAACCCTTTCAGGGAGAAACACACATGGGTTGCGCTGGTCAGTCTCTCAAAATCCACACGCTCATATATTCCATCCCGGCATAGGGTTTAGCCAGAATTACCTTTCATTTCGATCCCACCATATTTCTGCTTCTCAGCACAGTTGACGACGTGATTGCCATTCACGATTCGGCAAGCAAAAGGTTTGTGACCGGAACTTGTTGCCGATCTAATGCCTTTCCGAAAGAAAAATTGGCATTCAATGGATGGCTGACCTTGGTCCTATAAAGGGTGTCATCTGCTGGCGAAAGCCTCCCCGTACCTCCGTGCCCTATCCCATCGCCTTTGGGTTGGCTAAGAAATGCAAGTCCTTTTCCCTCTTGAATATTAATTGAAGGAAAGTGAACCAATTCATAAGGCTTGCTTCTGCACCGCTTCGTTGATGCACTTGCGGCGTGCGCACTCTCTCCATATGCCGCTCCTTTAAATCCGCCTACAGTATCGAGATGACATCCTCAACATCCTCTGCCTCCGCCTATGACCGCTCAACCTCAGTCACTCAGCACTTCACAACTAGACGTGTAACCTTGACCGTCCCCCTCCCAATTTCTGCCATAACGACAGCCCTCGATGCTGAGCTGAAGGCTGATAAGAATCAACCAGGATCTTTTCCGGCGGTCGTGCGCAAAGCCCTTAGGACGGTTCATCCAGGAGATAGTAATTCTTCCGCCGTGCGAAAAGAACGGATCAAGAAAGAATTCGAGTCTTTAGCGAGGGATCATCTGGGCGAGTGCGATTTTATGTAGGCAGAACAAACAGTGTTAAACTCGGATGATTTTCGCTGATATGCAACGATGATTCCTTGCGACAGGGTTTTCGATACTCTCCGTCATAGTCCATGGTACAATCTATATCGCCCGGAAGGCGTAGCCCCCGTCACAACCACACGCTATGTCTATGGCAATCCCCTCATCGCACGGACAATGATCGAGCATAACTTTGTCGCTGGCTTACACGTTCCAACAAACCTTATTCTGATTGGAGACGAGAAGCAAACGTTCATCGTTTATGACGTTCCCAGCAGTCTCATTGGCGTTGAGAATCCAGTGATCACTTTTGAGAGTCAGCCTGAAAGTGGAGGATTGGAAAGCTTAAGGGCGGCTGCTGAAGTACTGGACAAGAAGGTTGAGGGACTATTGAAGACGGTCATTCAAAGAGCCGACGTGCTTACTAAGGCGAAGCTATAGAGGCTGCTACTGTATGTACTTATTGCTAGCCTCAAGAAGCTAGTTTGTTTCCTAGTGATATATTAGTTCTAATCGTGATCAATTTGTCTGGATGAACATACTGGTTTTAAAGCAAGTTTCCGACCAAAATTGTAACGCGAATACACCACCACACTCATTATGCTCTCATAGGCTGTAATTGCGGCCGCACTGCCACGTCGTAGAGTACAACAACAACCCACAACAGGAAACTCATGCACTATGCGCTCACCGAAGGGTAGACGACTGGGTAGGAGTCCGACCAAAGGGTAGATGAACTTTGTTTTTAAACTAGATCCCGTGGGCACCTTCGCCGACCACCTTCAACGTTCTTGTCATATACGGGCTACTTTAGGGCTGCATCGTACCGATCCCCCAAGCCGAACCACGACACGTTTAAAATCGACAGGGATGGTTGTAGTTTTTGGGTACCACTACGTATCGCCCTCCTCACCTTTCCTGATTTTGGTGAGTCTCGTTTCATTTTGCTGCCGACTGACGATAGTTTTACCATGTTGATATAGTGACCCTACGCTTGATCCGAACCCGTTTAGCACGACATCGAACACTCACATCTTCTTCCCTCCAAACAACCGCTCCCTCGTGTGGATGATTCCTTCGACCTCCATAGCGTCTGGTCCGGTTACAACCACGGGCGCCTTCGTCAAATCACTGCCGGTGCCCCTTCCTGTCCTGTTGAAACTGTCATCGGGGCTTTTGAGAGAGACCTACGCGCACAGAAAAATGCCTTTGGATCATTTGCGGCGCTTGTGGATGAGGTGCTGCGTAGGAGGGAGCGAGGCGATGACCCCATGTCACTATCACTGCTGCTCTTGACAGGGGTTACTGAGACATAAAGCTCATCATGGTACAACCTCTTTCAGGATTCAACACTAAGCCAAAGACCCTCATCTGCTATCTGTACGGTAACCCGTTCATAGCGCATGTCCTGATCGGCCGTTCGTTGCTGGTCTCCAGGCTCCGGTGAGTTTTTTGGTCATTGATGATAAGGGTGATACATATATGATCTTCCCGGTTCCCTTATCGCGGTGGAGGATTCTTCTATACTGATTTCGTCCCGGGAGGAATGGGAAGCACTTCAGTGTTGTGCTCTTAGTCTAGATGAGACAAGTCTTTGCAAAGGCCGCGGAGAGGACCAAAGCAAAGCTTTGAATTTGCCGTGATATCTACAAGCTCCGTCAACCTGCCTGCTACCGCCAGGATTGGGTCCATGTATGTATGATAACCCTGTTCCGGAATAAGATGTGCTAGAGATGTAATTCGGTTCTTCAGAATGAGACCTGCTTCTCTACTGCAACGGTGGCGACACCAACCGACGTCGAGATCCAGAATGCTCTCACTGACATTAATTGGACCAGCACATGGGGTTTCTCGCTTCTCAAAGATGGGGCTAGCTAATGAAATCCATTTCAGTTTCTCGTGACATACATGAGCATGACCCGTCAAACTCTTGCGCCAGCGTTTCGTCCATAATCACTGAGAACACTAATCTATAACAATCCGACGGTTTTTTTATGCTAATGACCATCCGTTATTTACTCACAATTGAGAAGATTGCGAGCACAAAACCACCCGAGATCAAAGACGATTACTGATCCTAAACTGATTCATAGCGCGGATCGGTTGACTAGGCCACATTTCTTGGTGACTCTTCGATTTTCAACGGATATGATGTGCTGTGTAGCGTCGGACTGAGAAATCTTCGTCACAAAGCACACCTTGGAGTGCTCTCCAATATTGGCAGGTGGCTCCTGGGATTTTGAATGATCAAGCCAAAACCGAGGCAGATGGACAGCCATGATGATACTTGATCACTGGAAGTGCATTAACACACTACCGGGATAGCGGAATGAAGCGCATAGAACTCCTAAGCGATCTAATCAAATTTGGGTGTATGAACCCGCAGGTGACCCGCAACGGAGTTTAACACGTTCTGTGAACACCCAACCTGTTAATAAGCAGGCTCTCCAACAAAACTGGGTGCGCAATTGGCATGCTGTTCAAGTTGGAGTTGGAGAGGTGATGGCTCAAGATCATGGATCCGAGTGTTTTATGTCATTGAATGGCAGCAACTGGTGCCAGAGCATGATGCGTTCTTCAGACACCCTAGAAAGACGTTTAATTTCACTGAGTGATACACTAGGAGCAATCGAGCCGAATCCGGGATGTATGATGGGTAGCCAGCCTGTGCCAGACTTCGACACTTAAGTTTAGACGGTTCGATGGAGTTGGAGAATTGGCTAAGCCAGCCGATTTCCGTTTCCACTCTGACAGATGTTGATTCGGAATCAAACCCCGTTCCTTTCAAACCATTTGAAGCATTGGCTGTCACAACCAATTTTCAATTTGCTGATGCATTAGGATGCATCGACTCCGCAAGATTCCCAAGTGGTTTAAATAGCCAAATCTGGGGTTGTGCAATGCTCCGCATTTTTTGTGGCTCTCGACCGATGCGGGCTAAAGGCGGGCCGATGTCAACCAGGCAGGATGTTACCCTGCGATTGTGAGAAAGGCCCTTACGACGGCTTAACGATTCTCCTACCGCGCAAAAAGAGCGGATCAAGAAAGAACCTGAGGCTTTGGCCAAGGGTCATTTCGGCGAGTGATTATGTGGCGGGACAATCTCCGACCCGGATGATTCGCCAACATCAACGGTTGTTCACAAGGTTTTTGACGACCTCTGTCACGGCCTACAGGGTACCCTATGCCGCTCGGATCTAATCACAACCACATTGCATCTGTGGTAATCCCCTCACTGTGCGGACAATGATCGAGCGCGTCACTAGCTTTTACCTCCCATCCTGGGGATGAGAATCAAACGGCCGTTGTTTATGATGTTCCTATAGTTTCGTTGGGGTCCCAATGGGCAATTTGGGAGTCAGCCCGAGAGTCGAAGACCGGGAAACGTAGAGACGGCCGCTGAAGAACCGGACAAAAAGGTCGAGAACCTATCGAAGACGAAGTTAGAGGTCTTTTTTCTCTGCTAGACTGGAAGGTGGGGTATATCACAGTACGTACTTATTCTCTGCAAACGAGGATGTTTCCAAATCGCACCTAACATTGATGATATATTGACTTCCAATTGGGGTTTATCGATATCTAGGTGAGACGTTAGTCCAATAAACAAGTATTAAGGAAAAGTGGTAGCCCACCAAACTGGAGTATACGCGCACCTAGAAGTGGATTTTTTGTCGACAGTCAGCCCTACAGTTACTTTGAGGGACCACCCTTAACATTTTTATCAAACCCACTGAAGATAATCTGACCGTGATCGCACAGTGATTACGAGCCCTCTTCCGTTCGACACCAGATGAGATCGATCGTTCTGGCCATTTTCAAATTGCATCGTATGAGCCGAACCACACAATCCACGGGCGACTGTCTTAGAGTGCCATTTGTCATACTCTTGGTAAGTTTCGCATCTGTCATCGGTTGGCCTGTTGATTTACGTGACTGATGATTCGATCTGAACCCATTTGACACAGGATTGAATACTCACCTCTACAGCCTGTCCGCTTCCCTGAAAATTACCCTGCCCTCGTAGGATTATCAACCCCGTAGCCCCCAGTACTGTATTTACAACCACAGACACGTTTGTGGTGTCGTGTAAATCACTGTTAGTACTCGTTCCGGTTGATGCTATCGTCAGAGCTTTTGAGGAAAATATCTGCAGCGCTTGTGGGCGAGGTGCTCAGGACGAAGAGCTCAATTGGAGAATGATATCCTGAGACGAAAGAGGAATTCGTGTCGCCGGGCCAGTGATCTTATGTGAGTACTTAGTCCCAAGTTGATGTGGCCACTGTTCTGACCGATACTGTAGCTCTTTCTTAAGGTCCATCATGGCCGCTGATGCAACTGTCAGAATCTCAGTGCTGCGCCAAAGACTGTTATCTACTGCGTCTATAGTAACCCGCTCATAGTGCGCACCACGCTGAAACATTCCTTTGTCGCTCGTTACCACGATCCGACGAACTTTGTTGGTCATTGGTGATAAATGATGGTGACATTTGAGCTTCCCAGATCTCCCATTTCGGTGAAGAATTCTACTACGCTGATATCGTTCCAGGGGGAGCAGGATGCACTTAATCGGGGTGCTCTTGGATTGGACGCGAAGGTGGGCAAGGCGGCGGAGAAGGCCGAAGAAACGCTCTGATCTGGCGTGTTATCAGTGGCTCGTCGGCCACTCTCCTACCGCAGGACTGGGTCTATCTATGTATGATATCCCTGCCTGATATGCAGTGTGCTGGACATGTGCGTCGACGTTTCACATTGGACTTGCTTCCCTGCCATCACAACAGTGCCCCAAAGGTTCAGGATGCAAAATCTATGTCTCACTGTCGTCACTGCCGCTGGGCCTGTCCATTCCAGTAGATTTGTTGGCTTCTCGAAGTTGGGCCTAAGCGTCTAGGTACCCCGCGATTGGCACGCGGGGGCATGACTAGTCAGCTCCGCCCAACAACGTTTCATTCCCCATCACTGCCAAATACTTTACTAGTCCACAATAATTCGACAGATTTATCACCCCATGGTCTGCCAATCGCAACGTGAATTCATACAATTTGTTTCGTACACTCCATCCGGCGTATCTTTTTTTGCTTAACCCAACGATTTACATTGAGAATTCATTGGAACATCAGTGAAGCAATGGGACAGTGGGCTTCGTATCTACTGCCCTCTTGCTTCTCGACTGATGATTTTGGGGTCGTGTATCTGGTCTCCCCCGTGTTTCCAGTGGGTTAATCACGATCGTCCCCGCATGGGCCCGCCAATTGGATTTGCAGGGGCTTTCGCTGGCCATGAAGCCCATTTGAGGTATCTGCTGGGTGCCAATACGCCAATACTTGCATGTTCGCCCCCTCCCCTGCAGAAGCGTAGTGGATCCCCAATTGGGCGGGCTTCTGACACCAAGCCCGCAGCATTCCAAATTCCTGCCTGATTTAGCACCGTAAGGATAAGGGCCTCACGGAAGCTTCTCAACCAGAGAGATGGTGAAATGCAGCGTTTCGAGGGATTTTTGTAAAGAGCACAGCACCCTCAGGTGATCGGCAGCTCGCACCTTGTGACCCACGTTGCGCCACTAGGCAGGACTCCAGCCTCTATGACTTCGTAATATTATATTTGCGCCACGAGGCATTCGACAATGATTTCTCCCGTAGATGCCTACAGGGAATCTGGCAGGAAGACAAGGTGAAAGCGAATGCACAAAAATACCGTGATAATAGGCGTTTGGTCGATATACTATGGTGAAACTGCGTGCTCCGTACCAGGGGCTCGCACAGTAAGAGTAAAGCGAAAGGCATTGATTCCGAACCGACACATATTCCGGACGGTCAGCTCCGGGAGTGCCTCTCTTGGACCGAATTCACCATCTTTCGTAAGTGTACCCAGTGTTTTGGTGTTGCGCAACTCGAGTACCACCAAATTTTGCATTTGAGGACCAGGGTAATATCGCTGGGACTCGCTGTCGTCAATTGATCAATGCCCAGTGCGGCCTCTTGAGCAACGATGAGAGCGCTTTCTCAAACCAATCTCATGATACCATTCGGGACGTAGAATGCCGCCGTTGGAATTTATTCACAACTATGTTGGGACCTTTTGGAAGAACCGTACCTGAGTTGACACGCACTGTTGCGCAACTCCTGCTCAACATTGATGTTTCGATTCGCACGCTACCATTCCGAAATTCCACACCTGCCAATTCTTCGTGCTGCTTTCGTGCTGCTCGTCATCGTCCCAAATATAAGTCGTAAGTGTGTGATATGCGCAGCTTCATTGAATGTTTGTCGTTTCTTTTCTGGGTTGTCGGCCAGGTCACCCGAATTTTTGCAGCGAACTGGCTAAAATACTGGATGACTTTCAACAAAAACGAGGGTGGCGCACCGCAGCTCAATACAGAGGGGTTGCCGCACGGTCGAAAAACGCCCTACGCCCATCATACAATGATCAGCGTTCAACTGTTTGACAATCGCACGCCCTGTATTGGCAACGTGCTCCAGTGGGATTGATGGCTTGATTTTGGATGTCGCACCGGTCATAACCGAGGACCACACAGGACACGCTCAAGTCGCCGGAGCGATGGTTCGCACTAATTAGGACATAGGTCGACGAAAGAGTTTCCATTCGAAAATCGAATCTTTTTGCTAAATGGAGAATCCAGGTTCCTGGTTTCACTGTACAGATGCAATCTCGTTGTGCCCGTGCGATTTCTCCTTAAGTTGGGCAACCCTGGTTTCAAGCCTTCATTTGACACAACAGATTCGATTTGATCAGGTGTAAAGCAACGAGGGCGAAGAAAGATTATGTAGTAGCCTCGCGTCAAGTCACCGAGGAAGGAGCACAGACCGAATGTAAGACAATACAATACCTGAAATGCGTTCGCTGTCCCAGTTGAGCATCAGCAGCCGGCATCACCCGATATGTGTTGCTTGTCTGACAACCCGTCCCAAGTTCTCGGCGCCAGAGACCCGTCCATCGCTGCATGAAGGTTCGAATTCCATGTGATAGAACCTCTGCCTTCTATGTGCTTTTCCTCGGGAGATGGCGGCACTTGATCCTAGTAAATCTTACATAACTGCGACGCTGCTGCTGAAGTGAGAGTATAAAACCCCTCCAGCTATCGATGTTTCGTATTCGGGAACCCTCGTAGCTGTCTACATCTTGACATTTCATTGCGCGTGAGACATCACCAGGATCGCGAATCAAAAAGCCATTAATGCTATCCCATCGGTCGGCCGCACACTGAGTCCTTCAGCATTCCTTATCTCATGCAACCATTTTTAAATAGGACCCTGCCCTTGTCCAATGTCACAGGAATTAACTACTCTCGGCGCCTCCCTCTTGTTGTTTTGCAATACATCTTTGAGGTCGCGTGGAGAGGTACAAGTCGCGTGGAAGGAGTCGAAGATGCGGCTCCACACCATGTTGAAACCCTCGCCTCGTTATCATACGCCCATGTTTGCAGACTATGGCGTCAGGCCGCTCTTTCGACTCCTATGATATGGTCCAGCGTTTGTTATCAGCACCTGGTCAAGGCAAACCATGTCTACAATATCATGCAACTTTATCTCTATACCACTAGATTCACTTCACACTATCCACTTTCTGTCGACTTCACCCTTCCGGCCCGCCAGGCCGATCCCCATATCTTTGAATTATGCACCCAGCTGGTCGCCCAGCATCTTGATCATATTCGAACCCTTCGCGTCAAATGCGACGACGACCTGTCTTGCGTTCTCGGCGTGATCAGCGGTTGTCGAGCACCCCTTCTCCGATCTTTGCAAATCGAGACCCGAGAAGTTCAACCCGAGCACGCTGTTCCACGCCAAGTGGTCCATCATCGCGTACTGAGCGAAGCCGAGAATCTCGTCGATGTTGTTATTTGCGCACGAGATCGTTGGGATCCCTCCACATTTCCCAGGGTTAGAACTCTTCAGTGGATCTTGGTCGATGCTGATCCTCCTGAGTATTCCGCACAATTCCTCGCCAGTCTTCCGTACCTGGAGCACCTCGCACTCTCCGACCAATGTGGTAGTCAAGTCCCAGAGATATCAGGCTTTCAGAATCCCTCTATAACACAAGCTGATATCACGTCCGACGATAGCATTGCGATAGAATCGCTTCTGACCTCTCTCAGTACTGTTCACTCGTTGAAGGGCATACAAATCTGGGGGGACCTTGATTTCCAGCCGATATCATCACATTTCGAATGTACGACGGCGTTGGATGCTGAGTTTCGAGTTTCCGCTGACGCGGGACAGTACGTACACCATGCGAGCGATTTTGACTCGTCCCGTGTTGTTCTCGTCCCAGAAGAGGTGGCTTTCGCCGGGCGTTTATGCGATCAGTTACCCTTCATCGAGGTAATGACGATACATGTCCAAGTCTACCCTAACTTCCCCAACGCCCTCCTTTACACCTTGGCTACCTCTACAAAGTGTCAACATCTGAAAACAATTGTTCTCATGGGTGCTCCGTCTGTGGAACAGACGACTCAGGCGATGGAAGGTTGGATGGGCGCGCTCATTTCCGTCGCTGAGACGCGGCTCAACAATCGGATGAAGCTGGAGACCGTTTCCATTGTGGGTGATTGCATGCTCACACCTCCGTGGGGAAGGATGACGCAGTTGCTGGGTTACATCGATATGTTTATCATTGAGAATGAGAGAAGGGTGTTGGAGTTTGTGAGGGATCATCCAGTGAGGAATTGGGATCTGTATAAGCAACTAATTGAGGAAGATTATTAGGGCCTTCTTGAGATTGTAACTGTCTTCAATTTCATCATGCAGTTTATATATTCCTTTCTTTTTGGTTGAATGATTCAGCCTGAAAAACGCTCACAATGTTTGGGAGCCTGATTTGCGTGGTGTCAAAGAAGAATGACAGAGATTGACCATTGTACTTAGATAGAAGGACCCATTTCGCATGCCTCAGCGGCAGGGCGTGTGGCTGGAATCGCCACTGTTTGGACTACGTTGATGTGTGCTTTAGACGTCAGGGGTTGAATACATACATGAGTAAATTCACATTACGTGCACCATGAGATGCCAAAATCACGCTGTCCCGAGCCGGATTTACCATAAGCACATACTCCTTGATGAATGAATGACATTTCAAAGCCGAATTCAGTTGAAAGGCAAATTAAGAAGGGGGGTTCAAAGTTGACTTTTAAAGATTAGTCGCACAAAGTCATGTGCATGGGTTGTGGCAAGCAGATCGCCTCGCAGAAGTTCCGGTTCATGGGAAGAAAGCAACTGAACTTTTTCAAAACGCCTTCACGCACACTAAAGCTGTGCAGGGCCACTGCAAGAAGCAGCCTGGGATGATGGCTAACCCCTTTAATATATGATATTGAGATGCGCAGTTGGCGCCGCAGCGCCCGTGGTTCTAACGTGAAGCCAGGGGTGGGTGGATGGATTCTGTTCTTCTTCAGGATTAGCGGGTTGTGGGCGAAGCGTGGAGGTTCCACAAAGAAAAGGAGTCAACTATCTAGGCACAGGATTTGTTTACCAGAAGGTTGGGGAGCCCTAACCTAAAGGAGGAATGGAAAAGCCCATTGAATAGTGGTAGTTTGCAAATATTGTCAATCGCCAGGAGTCCAGTAAAGTAACCTTGGAGAGCCCTGGCGATTAGCGATACAAATGCGTGAATTGAAATGGTCCCAGGACAAGCGCGCATCCCATGTGGCATTTGGTGGCTCTTGGTTGCAAAATGAGCTTTAGTCGCTGATAAGATGCCATCAGCCAGAGAGGGAGACTATCGAGGTGGACTTCGTTTGTGACTTGCCACAACGTTATCATCCTTGAGGCATACGTAACGGTTTGGGAGGGTTCAGGCCCTCACACGATAAACAAGGAATTTCGAAGGAACAGTGCTGATCAGAAGTGTGAAGCGCAAGCAACAAACAACTGATAAGGGACCCGATGATATCCGGTATTAATTTACATGGAATATTAGTGCTAGTTCCAATGCAAAGTATGCTAGGATTTGCCCTCCAGATTTAGTGGTTTGGTGGGGCATTGGAGCGGCCTCCTGTATCGAGGCATCATGTGGTGAGTGTTCATATGACGCATGTCTAAGAAAATCGCTAGTGCGAAAAAAGCTGTTGGCAGAGCTACTTATCACCATCAATGATACATTGTCTGATGAGAGCAGGAAGTTACGGTAGATCAAGTTTAGGTGTTTGTATGCAATTTGCTCCAACACTTTTGTTCGCCAGGTCGGAAGGTGCACTAGTGAAATGTTATTTTTTTGTCCCTATTTGAGGGTGTCATGCACATAAGAGTGCGTGTTCTCGAGCGAGTCACAAGGAAATGATTCTGAGGGTTACTGGGGTGAAACCGGGTGGAGCATTACAAACGAAGTGCGAGGTTTTTTTTTTTTAGTTTTCTAGAAATTCAAGATTGTTCCTTGTCGGTATGGGAGGAGAGAATTTGTGTGGTGGGTGCATACCTAGAACATCCCAAGCATGGGGGTGAGAAGAACTTGAGGGGGAAACACATAAAGAACATCACGATTGGCAGATGTATCATCAACCGAGTTGCGCAATAACGAAGGAAGGGCACAAGCCTCCTTAAACTTCCGAGCATGGAATCACAGCAGAATGCTTGGGACATTGACCTGTCATGACGCAGCCTCATCTAAGGGCTAAAAGGTGCTGAAGAGCCCATTTGATGCCACTCGGAGCAGACCTAAGAGCCTATATCAGCATTTGAGACAGAAGTATGTTCAGCTAACGTTCAGCCCATCTTCCCCAAGGACTTCTGACATGAAGATGCGGCGATCTTGCATGGGAATTATCCATTGCTGCTGGAGAATTGCTAGAAAAAGCCATCTAACGGTCACGGGGTTCACGCAACACCGCCACCCGCTTTTGTTTTGAAATTGAAATCTGAAAGGCTCTGCCTGCGTTGAGGGGCCCCTGACCCTATTTGGTCGCCTGCTTTGCCGCCTTTAATGCCGCTTCCCAAAACCTGGTTTAAGCCACCTAAGAGAAATCCCAAAATTATTGCATGTAACCCAAGATAGATGACCAGGAATGAGTTTGCACTTTGGCAGCATTGAACTCTCATCGTGCCCTCTGTGCAAGCGCGCCGACGAGCAATAACGTGACACTGCTTGGAGCTATTTCATAAATTCATTATTATTGCAAATGCTTCCAGCCTGCTCCCTTCGTTTCCCTTCAACAACTAGCGGTAGCCGCGATCGTAAGACGGAGCGTTGAAGCATAAAGAGGTATGATTTAGCCAGTCCATTTTGACATCGCGGAGAAGTCCAACCTCGTGTTGCTGATTGTCGAACGAAAAGAACATGTCGACCGGACTCTCGCTCACGTTGAAGAAAAACCCAGCTTGGAAACCCCACGGGCCCAAAGATGTGCGTCGTTTCATTCCTTTCGGAGGGTTGTAACCACAGACTATCTCACTCAAATAATTAGTACGCTCGTTCCGCGCGCAAGTGGGGCATTCAGTCTACCGAGCAAACCGCCTTCTATGTACATGAAAACACCCTCCTGCGCCGCACTGCAGTGCCTACTTCCACCGAGCAGGATGGAGCGCCATCGGAGGCCAGAAGTGCTAAGAGGAGATCCATTTTTGCATCCATCTTCCGTGGAAGTAAGGATAAGAAGTCGGCGGCGGGAACAGCCAAAGTCCCAACTGAGGATGTTCAGAACGGTAGGTGTTCCCCTCGAGGAGGCCGAGAACCCGTCGTTCCTGGACGGAGTTCAGCTGATGCGGTGTATCCCCTGATTTGACATGTCCCAATGATACTCGTCTAGATCTTGAATATGTTGTGCCTGTGACCATTGGCACTCCTGGCGTCACGGTTAACCTCGATTTCGATACCGGTGCGTTCTTTCACATCACCCTCACGTTACCTGCTCTCAATCCCCCTGTTGCTGATGCCTTTTGTTATGACCTCCTAGGTTCTGCCGATCTCTGGGTCTGGTCATCTCTTCTTCGCGTTAGCAAGGCTGTTCTCAAGAATCACCAAGTCTACAACCCGGCGAAATCCTCTACTGCTCAAGCCCAGAAGGGCCTTCTCTGGACCATCCATTATGGTGATAATAGTTCTGCCAGTACGCACCCTCCTCCGTGCACACCGTGAATAATGTTGTGAACCATTTCATCCAGGCGGAACCGTTTATACGGATACTGTCAAACTCGACACGTTGTCAGTGCCTAATCAAGCCGTTGAGCTCGCTTCCAAGCTCTCCCCGTCCTTCCTCAACGAGAACGCGAGCGATGGTTTGCTTGGGCTGGCTTTCCCTTCGTAAATTCATCTCTGTTCGACATCAAGTGCAATGGTAAACTGATTGTCCATTAATAGGATTAACACTGTATCGCCTACGTCTCAGAAAACTCCCGTGCAGAATATGATTGAACAGGGGTTGATCTCTCAACCTATATTTACTGCCAAGGTTCTTTCTATTCATTGAACTCTTCTGCTGTGTTTGACCTGCTACTGGTTTCGCGTAGCTCGATAAAGGCGACTCAAGTGGCTTCTACACATTTGGGTACATTGATCAGGCTGTGGCCGGAGATGTCTCCTCCATTCAATATACCGCCGTCGACTCCTCCAATGGTTTCTGGGAATTCCCCAGTGAGACGTTGAAGGTTGGGAACAAGATAGTTCAAAGGGCTAGTGGCAACACTGCTATTGCAGATACTGGTACCACTGTCTGTGCCTTCTGCATCTCGTGTTATTCCCTCTCGAGTACTGAGTTGTCCTTGCGATCCACTCTAGTTGATCCTCCTTGACGATGCGGCGTGTTCCGCAATTTATGGCTCTGTCTCTGGTGCCACACTCAACCATTCTTTGGGCGGCTGGGCCCTCCCGACCGACGCCACTTTGCCCGCTACCATTTCTTTTGCAGTTGGGAGCCTTCAGTATAGCATCCCTGGCGGCGATTTGATCTTTGCAGACGCAGGAAATGGCTTTTCGTTCGGAAGCATTCAAAGTAGGGGTCAAAATCCTCAGGATATCCTTGGTGATGTGAGTAGCAAGTACTTGCAGCCAGGATAGATATTTTATTGATGTGTGGGTTCGCAGGTTTTCTTGAAGCGGGTGTATGCTATTTTTGACCAGACCCCGGATGCGCCTAAGATCGGATTTGTTCAGCGTACCGACTGGTAGGGGGAATCCTCAGCATGACCTATCGTCCCTTTTTCCTTCTATAGTGTTTGATGGACCTAGTAGTGGTCTACATCCTTGACGAATCGCGACGACTCTTTCTTTTCTTGAACTACTAAGTCATGGATTGTCACTGTATTGTCTTTCGCGAATGATATCTTTCTGAGATTCGGAGGAACTGGGTATGCCACAATGAAAATTTGTGGCCGGGTCAAGGTCCGTTTCGCCTGACTCCGGGCCGTCAACGGTCGTTCCCTGCTGGACACAGAGATGTCTGAGGCGTATGACTGTGACTATGCCTCTACTCTCCGTATTTAAGGGAGGGGATCCGCACCTCTGACAGAGGCGGGTACCGCTCACCAATCGCAGCAAAGGGGAGAGAACTGTCCTTGACCGAGATACGTGCCAAGGATTCGACAAGGCTCAGAAGTGCACAGCGACGAAGGCAAGGTGTCGCTTGTGAACAATTCATACGTCATCCAAGTTCAGTGGCAAATGTGGCACAGAAGGGTAAATAGAGATCGAATGCGTCCCTTTGAGATGGATTGCTTGGACCTACTCACGCGACGAAGCTGCCCAGGACCTTGCTATTCGGACTCCAGACTCCAGCTCATGTTCGTAGCGGCAGTACCTCGAGGCGCAATAGTTAGGCGGGCGATGAAGGGGAGCATTCTCATTGAAGCGCAAGGCAGAATGTCTCACCTTCAGCCTTGCCGCTGCAAGAACTGGAGAAGCTCATGAGTGTCTCACAGGTGGAGCAGTAAAACGTAGCCATTCACAGCCAAATATCACAATCATATCGTAGTTGGTTGTGCATACAACAGAACATGGGTCTTCGCGCCTCGGTCATGAATAAGGGGTTCCGGGCACTATGAGTCCACTAGTCCGCCTCACTGTAAGCTGGTGGAGGGGGAGAAGGCGGGAAATACAAAGGGGCCAGGGTACTACAGAAGGAACGAATGTTACATGGCGAGTTACGCAGAACAACCCAAGTCCAGTTTGGATAAGACTTACTCATAAAGATCCTTGTCAGTGTCTAAAAAGACGACGAAAACGACTCGTTCTATCTGCTCGAGAGAGATTATGAACCTAACAGCAATGTAGAAAGCAAGAGCACCCACGTCTTGACCCTGGGGACTGTCTAGGAATTTCCTCGTTTCCGTCATAGCAATGTGAGTTGCGTCACGAATGGGGTATCCATATAATCCAGTGGAGATAGATGGGAACGCCTGGAGAGACATTCAGGAGTGAGAAGTTAAGATGGCATTATTCGCTTACTATAGACTTGATGTTTTTGGCATATGCAAGGTTTAAACAATTTCTGTAACACAGGGCAAGTAATCTTGCGCATTCCGCATCCTTGGACCTGGAATAGACTGGCCCAACTGTGTGCAATACATGGCGACTATGAACAAGTAATCTTCGTAAGTGTATGAGGCATGAGGCAGTGGAAAAGTAACTAACGCAGGGAGGTCATAGCCCGAGGTTATCTTGGCTTCGCCAGTCTCTGCTCCATCCAGAGCCTGACCTAAGTACAAGGGAATAGTAGACAAATCACGACACATATCTGAACACTCACATTCGTTAAGAAGACGTGGACCTGCAGCCCGATGGATAGCACCATCCACTGAAAGGCAACTCTATCATTGATACATGGTTGATGTGTCAAGGAACGTACCACCACCACCACCTAGCACGAACCGTTCAATCTGGCACGTCACTGGGAAGATAAGCACCTCTTACCAAGCAGAGTGCGATTGGCAGCGTTAACGATGGCATCAACCTCCAGTTTAGTTATGTCGCCTTGCCTGCAGAGCCAGACGCCCCAACAATGTGAACGCGCGATGGCGGGTCAGTTCCACCCTACGCACCATATGGATATCTGGCGAAGCAATATCGGATTGTGGTGTGCGGCTGGAGGATCTGGAGCTTGGATGTTCGCCGCCACAAAAGCCTGGGCTAATGTGGGGATGTGCTGCAGCGTTCTAACAGACATGGTAACGTGTGTTTGTTTATTCTGGATGGATCGCAGCGAAAAACGCTGCTCCGTAGTGGGTCCTGTGGGTTTAGACTGAATGGTCAGCAAAGAGGACCTCTATTTCAGCAAGGCATCTCAATTTTTTTTAAGTCCCCATTCCTCAAACATGGAATTGTGCACTAACATCTTTGTGTGGTATGCTGCCGTCCCTCACAACCCATTCACGAAAATACTGTTAGAAACCACCTCCGCCTAATGCGGGCATTTAGTGTAATGGTAACACACTCTTGGTACCTATGCAGGGTTCTGCAGTTTGACTCCCAGAATGTCCATATTTTAGCATTAAGGTTCCCAAGACCACATGTACAAATTCCATATATTTCAGTGTCTGCTCGCTGACGGAATTCATAAATGTTTCCTTGGCAGCGCTTTGTCTGATCTCAGTGGAGCATGTCAGGGACATCAAGGAAAGAAAGGCATGCTACTTGGCCTATCTAGAACAGCTAGCTATGTCATGTTGATTTTTTCAATTGTGTCACTGGGACATTCGGGATCAATAGATAACTATTTCTGTTTTTGATTATACTGTATGTCGATAATTATGATCGCTCTCGAAGTGAACGAAAACATGGTCATACCTGGGACTCTTGGGATACGTTTCTCTTGTGCCGTTGACTACCTCCTTCATCTCATCACTTGTCGTATATGTTGGACATTCTGCGGAATACACTGAGCACACCCAAATCCGGTTGCTGCCACGTGAGCTGGGCACGTGAAGTTATGCATTAAATTAGCCGGCCTGACAAAGTTTCAGGGGGTGGCTCAGAGCACTAAGGACCCAAATCTGGCTGCTTCAGACCACATGATTACATGTAGGAGATTAGCAGTAAGTCCGGCCTGAATATAAATTCAGGGGGTGACAGCTCATGGGTTGTTGGAACCCTGGTGGTTTGGGTCACATGTGGATCACATAGTCAATCCAATGTGAAGGGGGTGTGTTGAAATAACCACCTCAGCCTAACAGGGCGTATGGTGTAATGGCAGTGCACGCTGAGTTCGCGATCCAGAAGACTGGAGTTCAATTCCCAGTATGTCCAACTTTTAGGTTTCCCTAAAAGACCACGTGCAAATTCCAACAGTATATCAGTGCCGATCAGTCAAATATCGTGTTAACCTGATTCAAAATAGAATAATAATCAGCCACCACTTTCCAAGTTGATTCAGTGGGAGTAGCAGTCTCTCTAAAGCTCAATGTACATACGATATATTGATAGGGCAGGGGTATGGAATAAGCCACCAATAAATATTCCTGACACATGAAATGAGCTTTTTCGCACTTCACACGATGTACACTTCACATAGTTACCATATTTAGACAAGGATCACATGAGGTGTATACATTTCATTTTCCCACACTGCACATGCACACTTTGCACACTTTGCACACTTAGCCTGCTTGCCAGACTCCGTGGATGCGCCAAAACCAGGCAGCATTGGCAACGTAAATACCACTGAATTGTATTGATCACAGGTTGTTTATGGAAATAGACCTTAAACCCGATCATCTGCACGGAGTGGTAGTACTCCTCAGCAATTGCCAAATTTGAGATGAGTGTCACGGCTGTGCATTCTGGCCCATTAGCCACCCATCCCGATGCCACCCAAGCCCGTCTGTGAGGCCCTGGCCCATGTCTATGTTCCACCCACAACATCAGTTGATGTTGTGTTGTCTAATAATTATGTTGCGATGCTAATTTAGCGTCGCAGAAGCTTCTCTATTTATTTGTGCCGAGAATGCATTAGATTGTATATAAACCCTTGGGGTAGCTGTAAAAGGCAGATCAGCCTTTACTTCTACCCTGTTAATATACAGCAAATCAAAGCATACTAGAAATGGCTGCTGTGCAGCCCTGACCTTGCTTATGATAAGGCTTTTGCATGTGAAGTTAGTGGAACAGGAATGTTTTCTGCCAACATCATCGATCTTTCCATCAAACTGGTAATATCTTTCTGCACACAGGTGTTCTTTTCCCTTTTCTTTTTGTCTGCCATGAGCACGCTACATTCACCATTACCTGCCACCAGTTAGCTTTGCCAATGCTCTTCATTCCCCTAGCTTTATCCGATTAAACGGATGCACTTTGTACTTCCTATACCCCATCAAATCAACTGGTGTCATGTTGTCTCATACCCACTTTACACTGGCGTATGATTGGTGGATGCCACCTGTGGTGGCAAGAGCCCACTAAGTACTTTTCCCACCTTTGTTTTTCTTATCCGATTCTGGCTCGTCGTCGGCTTGTTTGTCATCAGCTTGTGCAGAGTCGGCCACAAGATCAAGGGGAAGAGGGGAAAGGGATGGGTGAAATGTGGCAAAGGCTAGAGGGACAATGAGATCCGTTGGAAGGGACTTCAGATAGTGCTCGCGTGCGAGCTCATACAAGCGGACCATAGGAATAGAAGTCCACTCAGCGTAAATGGCGTCCAGCCACTCAAACACATCCTTACATGTGTTATACCCAACACCCTCATCCCTATAACTCCACAAAGCCTCGCGACGCACGATCCCAATGACAGCGTCGATATATTCACATGCAGAAATCCACCACCGCGTGTGATCACCCAAAACAACAGCAGCCTTGAGATTGTCAGCAAGGACTCCTATCGCATTGTGAGCCTTTGTCATATCCATCCCTGGCCATCGACTTCCGGTCCCTCCGATCCCTCCGGTCTAACTCCGCTCCTTCCTCACTAACCTCGGAGCTCCCGTATTCCGTAATCCTCTCGGTACCCCTCGATGGTCACCACCCCCTCATTTCAATTTATTACCTACGCCTCCCTAAGTACGGAGCCCTGAAGACTTCCGGACAGCTCCGACGTCCGCTAGCGCACTCCCACCTCCGCTGGGCAATACACTCGCCTGCCCTGCAGAGCCCACCTTTGGGCCTATCCCTCCTTTCCATTTCTGGGTTATCGCCTGCCTTCCCGCTAACCCCACAACCCGACTCGTCGGTAATATTCAGTCGGCTAATGTTTAACCCTGTTAGCTCCGCTCCGTTCGGCTCTGCCAATTGCGGACCCGTCTCCGCTGTAACCATATATATATCCAACTTGTACATAGGTTACACCCCAGTAATAAAATCAACTAGAGTTACCCCCCTTCGGTTCTGATTGCCAGTCAGTAAGTTAGGGCACGGACGTGTCACTAGGCACAGCGCTCTTGGCATAAGTCGCTGAGGCCAAAGCCCTCCGCTACGGAGACTCTCCCTTGTCTCGAATCCGGTCTCTGACAGCCTTCTCTATCACCTCATCGCGTTCAGGTGTCTCCCAGTATTCCTCACCGCCCAGAGGCAGAATCATATCCCTACCATCAAGCCAGTACATGGCGAGTTTCCACAGCCGTGCACGAGAGAGAGTGTCGGAGGGCAAATACACAGGTAGAGTGCCGTCAGTGCGTGAATATTGCGTGGGGCTGGACTAGGATGTGCTGGCATGAGTTTCTCAGCGTGCGCAGGCACAAATATCGCGTGTGTTGCCAAAAAAAAAGCAGGTGGGGGACGTGGAAGATGTGTGTGGAAGGCCCAAAAGTCGTGGGTCTGAGCCTGGGGAGCCGTGAACACAGAGAAGAAAGTGGAGTGGGTGCAAGCGCGCGTTTCTAGGTGCACACGGTGAAGGAGAGAACAAAGGAAGGTCAGTTGGGAGGTTCAAACAAGACCACCACCAAGCTGTTCCCTGGTTCTTTAGTTAGGATGGGGAAGTGTACTAGTGTTATTTATTGTAAATATAGTACCAATCCGAGTGTTTTGGCTAATTCTATTTTTATGGGTTAGTTTTAAAGTTCCTGGGAATTGACTTACAGATAAACCGAGCCCTGCGGAGCTGTTTCTTTATTGAAATTTCTTAATTTGTCTAGGTGTAATTCTGTGTAGCGTTGTTTAATTTGGATTTAAACTTGAATTTAATCTTCTACTTGGTGAAGTTTCAAAGATTCTATTCAGTTAATGAATTTGGATTGTGTCTGGAGTGTCCCTTGGGTTTGTTTTATTTTTGTCTTATTTTATTGCTTGTTTTAACAGTAGCAAGATAACTGTTTTGTGTTTACACTTTGAAATCTGGAGTGTTAACCAGCTCTCCTGTTGAAATATCTACTTAATATTTCTCTCCTTAATTGCTGCCTTTTACTACAGTGGCAATCTTAACTGTATATCACTTTTTCGCACTGGAGTGACAACCAGAAATGCTTGAGAAAAATAATACTCTATTTTCTTACTTCTCTAAGGGGGGCGAAAAGTCGCAGAAAGGGTCTCCCTTTTATACTCCTTGGGTCGCCTTCCTTTTTCACGCTCTACCTTCTATTTACAGGATTTATTTACAGTGTATTTTTCTCAAACTGAATAAAAAATGAAAATATCATGCTATAGTTCTACTGTGCTTTTGCTGCACTGAACTGCGGTTCTACTGTGGTCAGACTGCGCCTAGAATCCTTATTGTCCTCCCTCACCTAAGCTATTTTAATGGTTAATTGGAACTTGGCTGTGCTGTATTTGTTGCAGTTACCTATTTCAAATTCCCTATATATACCATTAAATTTGCTATGACTCGATGATTCTGAATTCAAACTTCGCATTACTATGCATACAGCTGTGCTGAGACCTTCAGCTGATTTATTCCAATTTTATTTAGTGACATTTAGTTAAAATGAGACTGAAATGGTAAATGAGTGAATTATTCAGGTTTAAAACTGAAAGAAAAAGTTGCTAGTAGTCAAGAATTACTCAACGAATGTGTTATAGCTCTCCACTTCATTAGAACATCGTTCCCTAAAAGTCCTGCCATGGTCCATCGTAGTTTAGTGGTTTTCGTGAATTTCGTTCATATTCCCTGATTCCCCTTTGTATTATCACATCCTAATCCTCCATATGTATTGTTTGTTGTTATAGTAGGTCGTCCTTGAAGATATCATATTTTTATGTATTTTATTTAGGACTCTGGACCTCTTGAAGCTGTCTTCCCGGCGTTTTCAGGTTTCTAACTTCATGTCCTTGTATCTCATTCATTTCTGGATGTTTTCTCACGTTCTTGGTATCATAAATT